CCTGGATGGGTTGGTCTGGTTTACTTTGTCTTGCTCGCCCTGGGCACTTAACCACGCGTGAACCAGCATTCGGCCAACCTGACTTCACCAAGTGCAAGGCATCCAGCCACTTGACCTTTGTATGTTTTATTCAACGAATTCGGGGAGTGCAGTGTTGTTCGTTTTATTTTTGCGCCTTCACAACCCAAAGAAGATGGCACAGACCGGCGGTGTTGGTGTAATGAAGTCCAGTGGCCGAGGCCTAGGCTGAGGACACTTGGGCGACTTGGGGGCAACAGCAGTCACACATTTTATTTTTAGGGGGTCATGACCATTCCTTTGGCGTGAAGGTGCATCCCATGTTTATCCTGAAGTGAAGGACGTCTCCAAGTATTGCGGGACCGGGCGTTGCAGCGATAGAACCAGCATGCTAGCAAGGAAAGGACATCATCTACGTTGCGTGACCTGCGACCATGCACTGCGAGTTATGTACAAGTGGGGTTTGCAGGGTGCTTACTAAACCAAATGTCCTCATGACAAAACTGGGGATTGCGGGGTGCTACACCAAATGGCCATGGGTCAAAATGCCGTACCCCAGGTGAACATCCCAATCTAAAATAGACTAAAATGGGTGGTGCACCTATCCCAAAATGGTATCCCATCGGTTTGAACCATGGCCAAATGTCTTCGTGCGAAAAGGATACTTGTTTTTGGGCCCCGATCACTTCCACCAGGCTGAGCCATTGAGTGAGCCGGTGAGCTGTCAGGCCTCGGACGCGCGCCCCGCCGCTACCCTGCCTGGGCCGCAGTGACCGGGGAAACATGGGGTGGTGGGTGGTCCTTTTTGCACCAAAAAAAGCAGGGAAAGAGCCTTGGGAGCGCAGCAAAACTGATTCCCATAAGCAGCTTCTTCTCACGAAGGCGCTGCTTTTGAAGAGAGACCCTTTTGGTGTTCTTCTGTCCAAAGTAGGACACGCCGATTAGGCGGAGCAGATGACAAGGCCTGTCGCACTCGCCTTCCCCTCTGGGTTGTTCGAAGCCTCCGTGCTTGAAATTTGCTGTGTACTGGGCTGCATGATGCGTTCTGCAGCAGCTTTCTTGCACTCGACTTTCTGCTCGCAGCCATGTGGCTCATGTGATCCCCATCTTTCCAAAGGAAAGCATCGGGCCTCTCCACAGTTGAACAGGTTGTGCACGCTGAGATCGAGTGCTATGGTGTCGGCCTCAGTGGAGACTTTCGTCCCACTGCTTCTTGCTGCTCAGTAACGCCTTTTCAAATTAGTAGCCAAGAAGCCCCACTGCAACCAACTCCGGAGTTCATCTTGCATTTTTGACATGGATTGCGTTGCCTGCATGCTCAGACACCATGTTCTAAGACCAGACTGCGAGAGTATGGGAGGCTGCCCCCAAAACTGGGGAAGACTTTCAAAAGCACCCCAAATTCAAAGGGAAACCGAGTTCCACTTCCATCCACGGAGCCACAGTGAACATAATCAACTCACTCTGAACGTATGGAACCATACATGGCATGACACCCTAGTTAATAGGTTAGCTTCCCATGGCGTTTTGGGAACCCAGCCACCAGAAGTTCATGTCACTCTCCCCCGGCCCCCGTCCGCCGAAGCTTCAGACGATGACGGCGGCCTCGCTGTCGGCCACGTTGGAACCCTCGCTGCGGTCCTCCATGACCCACGCCTTCCTCACCTCCAAATTCCAGGCGCAAGTCGCGTTGCGATCGCAAACCCGAGCAAGATAGGTGTCCTTGTTACATTAGTTTGGTCAGAAGTGGATGGCACTGGTTCAGATTGGTGAATTTCCATTTATCAGGGCCATCTTGGTGAAGATATGTTGGTGAGGGGTTCCGAAATTTCTTGGTCATAGGAGTCAACCGGAAAAGCCGAGAGAGAGATTTGAGAAACGAAAACGTGAGGCATCGCCATCCCTCTCCATGCACACTCTCTCTTTCCAACAATTTTTCAAGTGGACCAGAGAGGTTTTGAAAAACAGGTCCACTTCAACGACTTCCATTCTTGGATTGGGTGATTTCTTAGATTCCCGCATTGCCTCGCTCTGTGACCAACCGCCGAGTTCTGGGCTTGCATCTCGATTAGCCGCGGGGAAGGCCGGCCTTCGCACGGGCAGGTGGGCTCCGCGAAGAGCGACAAGATCAACTACACCTTGGCGCAGAAGGTCTTCCACAGCGGGGATGTTCCGCAGGAGGCTTCCCCGGGCGCGAAAACCCTTAAACCCGAAAACCCGAAGCGGGAACAGGGAGGTTTCCGGTCGAAGTGTCCAGAGGCACGTGGGGAACTCTCGTGGGTGGGTGGGTGGTTGGGGAACTTGTTTGCATGCGCCGACTGGCCGAGCTTTTGGGTGGGGCAGCAATTTGCAATCAACTTGCGTTTGCTCTCTGGATACTGCAAGTGGATGAGAAGTTGTGGTATGCACCTCGCCAACATGGAACCCACAAGAAGGCCCTCAGCAAGAGGTCTTTAGTCCAAGGACCTTTTGTCAGGTTCCATGCTAATTGGTTAGAGGGTAGCATGGTTGCCATCCATCGGATGGCGGAGGAGCCAAGTACACGTGCTTCACTGGCATGTTGGCACTCACCTGTGCGACCCGTGCTCGAGCCGACAAGGGGCGCCAAACGGACCACATTACTCCAAGCCAAGGGACTTTTCCAGGTTTTTCGGCCCGTGTTTTTTCCCCCGTTTCGCGTGAAACCTACAAAAAAGGGAAGCCTCGAATCACAAAATGACAGACCCCCTCTTTTCCTACGCGGGGGTTTTCGCTCGATTGCCAGGTCCTGGAGTCCAAGCGCGCGGTGCAGAAGAAGAAGCAGCCGAACATCTTGGGCACGGAGAAGAGGGACTGGTGCCTTGGGCGCAAAGTGGGAAGTGGCCGCGTGGGGAGGGGGGCCGGGCTACGGAGCCGCTGCGTAGCAGGTTGGTGTGTGTGAAGGGTCATTCGCGGTTTACGGACGCCCTGGCAAGATAAAGGGAGATGTTTTTCCGAAGCTTATGTGCGGCGCGAGCCGTTTTAGAAGGCAGCCCGTCTCTGTAGGGCAGTCATTCTGACTCACACCTCCTTCAGAGAATTGACAGTTAGTTTGTCTGGACCAATTTAGTGGTGGTCCTGGAACGTGCAATCGCCATAGTCCACTTGCAGGTGGTCGACTGGGATATCAACAAATTCTTGAGAGTCTTCCTGGGGCTCAGCAGCGCCGAGTTTAGAGGGTCCACCCAAGATGCAGCCAGCCAATTGTTGTAGGACAGCTTTTGGGCGGTGTGAATCGGCTTTGTTGCTTTGCTGAGATGCGAAGTTGTCAAGATGGAGAAGCCCATCGTGAATAGCTTGAAATGGAAGTCAACGCGAGGCAAGCCATTGCAGAGGGCTCCCAAAAGGGAAAACTCCCAGAGGCTGCTTGCTTATCTTGCCGCAAGGCTGTTTCCAGGCGGCCATGCGGGCACGGTGGCACTTTTATCCTCGAAAGCCTCGACGTGCTGGTTAGCTTCCCGTCCCTGCAGCGATGAACGCCTGACAAAATTATTTGCAGAAACCCACAAACACCATTGGCACAGATTTGCGAAAGCCGCGTGCTGGTAACCATACTAAAGTTTCAAGGCAATTGCTGAGGAATACCTCCACCATTGCGGATCAGAAGATCCAGAAGGACCAGCACAAGGACCTCGCAACCCGATCCTTCGCCTGGGATGGGGTTCCTGGAAGGATGCTTTCGAGAACATAGTGAAAAGCATTGGCCACTTTTTTGTGCCCAATCCCCAAGGCACTCGAGGGAAAGTCCCAAGTTGATTCCCAGAATAATACCCATGGCAATCCCTAAAGTCTCCCGCCATGTAGTTGTGATATCTAATGGTCTCGCTCACTTTTACGGCCGTTGAGTAATCTGTTCGAATCGGCTCACACGGCTGGCTCCGAGATGGGGCCACACACGTTTAATAATGTGTAAGAAAGAGTTTTCAAAATAGCAAACTGTTTTCACACACCGTATCATGTACGGGTTCCAACAAATTCAGTGAAACACCGGACCCAAGTTGACAGGTAGTTGATCGGGATGTGCTCCAGAGAACATACATGGGAAGTTGTGTTGGCAACTCTTGGCATGCTTGCTTCGCCAACAGAGCATGCATTTGAAGGGTGGGGTGTTCCAACCCAAACCACATGGGGCGGCTTTTCCCATCTTCCCTGGTGGCTCTCTTTGACAGATCGCACATGGTGGTGATGCAGACATCGGGCCCCCAACCTTCACAAAACCAACGCCCGGCCTACCATGTAAGGAAATGCCAAGGCGGTCGCTGCTAATCAATCCCCGAGTTTAGCTTTGGACAAAGCACATATCAAATACTTCAAAAGTTCCTTTTACCCACGTCCGAGGCTGGGAAGAAGAAGCACCCGCCACATTCTTGCCACTTCCAATATTGGGAAACGGCTTAAGGAAGGACTGTGACCACTTTCTCAAACCCAGTGCCAGATTCCAAGAGGGCTGCAGCTTTGGGAGCCCCCTAGGACACTTCTTTGGGTGGGTGGGTGGGTGGGTGGGTGGTGGCAGTTGGACAACGAGTTGAATGTGAATTGTCATCGAGGGTGTCGGCCCAAATCCACTTGAGGCTTGGGTGCTGAATCGATTTGGCCATGCGTTTAATGGAGCCGCTGTTGCAACAAAAGCATGATTTGCACCCTACAGCCACCCAAATCCGCGGTTTCGACAAGGTCCTGCAATTTCAGCAGCAACCAGAGGAGTTTGCATGTGCTCATGCGACCGCTGCCGTATCACAGGTGCTGCTCGGGGTGCCATTCCGGTTGGGAGAATGCGACACGCTTTCCCAGCCCGACGCTTTTTTTCGGGGAAGGGGTCACAACTCCTTGCGGGCTCATCCCATTTTTCAGTCACCCCCTGTCCAATCACCCCCTCCCTGTCACCCCCTCCCTGTTCATCCCAATTCTTCTCCAATCACCCCCTCCCTGTCCAGTTCTCATTCCCGGATCTTAAAGCTCACGCCATGGGCGCCGCGGCTTCGCCGCAGCCGGAGGCCACCGCCAAAGCCGCGGTGCAGGTGGGCGACCAAGAGAAAAAATCACGGAAATCCAAGTGGGTGTGGCTGGAAAGTTAAAGTTTTAGCCTTGGGTTCCATTTGCCCAGGTGTCATGTTGGTACTTTTTGTTGGAGCCGCAGCCAAGTGAGAAGCGGGTTTCTGAACGTTACGTGTCGGGATTTTTTGAGCACTCACCGGCAAGATGTATGGCTTCCGAATCAGAAAAGCCCGGCCAACTGAAAGGGATCTTTTGCCATTTGCGATAGCGTATCTTATTCAAACATAGTTCTTGTTGTGCAGTTTCTTCCAAAATCATTCCATGTTTCCTCTTTTCCGCGTCTTTCTTTCGCAACTCAGAACACAACCAACAAGACCACACAAACCACCAACAAGACACCACACGACCGGACATCATTATGGCTGACATCGTGTGGCTGCTGGCTTGTTTCGTGTCTTGCGCCAGGTGGGTATGGGAGAAAAAAAACACCCGGGGACTGCAGGTTTTAGTCCTTATATATATATATACATATATATATATATATATATTATTTAGTGGTGTTTGTTCTGGTTTTAGTCCCTGTTTGCATGTACCAGGGTTCCATTTTGGGTACCTATTTTGACCCGCAGCCAGGTCTCGTTGGAGGACTTGGAGCTGCCGCCTCGGCGCGAGCGCGTGGCCCTGGCGCCCAGCGCCGCGCAGCTCCTCGCCGGCGGCTCGGGCGCCTCGGCCCCTTCCGGCGCGGGCGCGTCGGCGTTCGGGCCCAAGGCGCGGAGGGGCTGAGTGAGACACGAGACGGAACCTTAAACATCCATGTTTTTTTTTCTTTCTTTTCTTTCCTTTTTTGCTTGATGTGGAGTTTTGTCCTTGGTTTTCAGAATGGCGCCCCCACTCCAAGGCGCCTTAGGCCCTTTGCCGAGTTCAACTTTTCACAAAAGGGGTTCCTTCTTTTGCCTTGAAGGAGAAACATCAAGTGGAACCCCTTGGTGGTTTTAAGGTGAAAGATTGGGTCAGAGGGCAGAATCCAAAAGTAGGGAGGCGAATCGAGAGAGACTCTGCAAGTTTGTAGGGTGGGACATTGGGGGCCCACCCCTTCTCACCAAAGACCAAGGAGCCCATCCAGTATCCTCATGCCTCCAAATTATGAACCACTCTTGGAGCGTTTCAAGGGAATGCAAAGGAACGCCACCCATTTTCTGTCCATTATTTTGTGGATCAACGGCAAGTCATTTCACGTGCTTCTGTAGGGATCCCTCCCAACTGAACTCCCTTAAACCTTGCTAGGATCTTAGATCATACTGTTGGTACATATCATGGGGGGCGTTGGTAGGATTTTGTTGAGATTTTAATGTTGGACCAACTCGGTGTCTCATGTGAATGAGGCAATCCTTATATTTTTGGTTTCTTTTGAAACCAAATAGCGGGCTATCCCCCAAACCACCAATCCAGTGGGTCCGAACTGCGGATGCCCATTTGGCAATGGGTTTCGGGGAATCCAAGAGCCAGGCACGATTGAGCTCTGCACCAAAGGCCAACAAGAATGGACCCTGACAAGTGGCCAGGGGGGAGCCTCAGCGATCGCTCGGTGCAGGTGGCGGAGGAGTTGCTGCCCGGGGCGGAGGCTAGGGGCCAGCGCGCCTTCGGGGAGGATGGGCTCGTGGGCACCGAGAGGCAGCAGCTGCAGCTGTTGGCCTACTACGCCGAGCTCTGCGAGGCGCTTCCGATGGAAGACATATGGCCGTGGGTCAAAGCCAATGGGACCCCATTTTGGGGTAGGCGCACCACCCATTTTAGTCCATTTTAGTGGGGATTGGGATGTTCGCTGGGGGTACGGGATTTTGACCCATGGCTATATTCTTCAATTCTTCACTTTGCGCGGCACGATGTTGGGATCGAATGAGGGCTTTTGACCCGCCTCGAAGGTTTTGGACCCATCCGGGTCACCTGAACATGAGAGTTACTGCTTCCACGCTTGCAGTCACCCAGCCTTTCATCCTTCACATAACCGGCACATCCCGAGCCCCCTTGCCTCACATAGGATTGTGAAGGCAATTAAAGAGAGTGTAGCCAAAGGTTGACATCTTTGCAGTGGGTCAAATGGCCATGGTTCAAAACCAATGGTACCATTTTGGGATAGGTGCACCACCCATTTTAGTCTCTTTTAGTGTTCACTGGGGGTACAGGGTTTTGACCCATGGCCAAATACCAACCCAGTTTGGTGATCCATTTGAATTTGGTCAAAAGCTGCGAGGACTTCCGGCAGTACCAACGCCAGACCCGCGAGGAGCGAGCCGGCGGCGATTGGGTGCCAGTAGACTTGGAGTTTGGTTCCCTGAACTTGTCCCCCACCAGAGTCCCAACTGCCAAAAACCAAGCTGCACCGGATGCGTGGTTCTGTTTTAAAAGACAAGCTTGCCTTGTCCACTAGTTTTGCTTCAATATGCGATTGATTGCAAGCGTTCGCTGATTGATTCACTTGTAGTATTTGTCTTGAGTCATTAAAGAGCGTGCTGCATTGCGTCGTCTAATCCTTGTGGAGGGAAAACCTTTGTTCATTGCATTCGACGTGCAGAGGTACTTTGTTGCCGTTTCGAGTTTGAACGTTTTGCCTCTCGCAATCTCCTTCTAATAAGAAGCGCCCCAAATAAGAGCGTACATGCAAGAATTCTATGCAGTGTAGTTTTGGCTGCGCTTCAACTCTCTCCAAGTCTTGCCCTTGCCAAACACCACTCTTGGCAATTCTGCACAACTTCTCAATAAACAGCTTTGCGGAGTGGGGAAAACGATATGAATGCATTTATACACGCACATCTCCATCCATATCTTTGTATGTATATCCAATATTGCTTTTTGCATATCACAGACATATTATTGTGTATACACACATATATATATATATATATATATTTGCATTTCTTGAATCCTTGCATGATGCGCCTGAGGCACACAAGATGCCGATCTGACCACAACAAAGGCAGACTTCTGGGGGGCGGGGTACAATATATGTACATATATATATAATTTATAATGTTGCGTATGTATGTTGTATGTATATATATGCACACGCCCTTTGTGTTTCGTATGTGTTTTTTTTTGGGTCTTTTTACTTCACATAGGCTGCGGTGTGGGAGGAGGGCTCTGGGGCCTTGGACGTGGACGGCGCCCAGCTGGTGCTGCTCAGCGGCCCGCCGGGAACCGGGAAGACCAAGCACGCCGCGGCTCAGCGGGCAAAAACAAGGCCATTCTTGGGGAGCTTCTTGCAAAGAGGTCCCCTTTTGGTACATATTTGGGGGTCATTTGAGGCGTCTTGTTTTTTTTCTTCTTTTTTCGGGGACCCCAGTTTTCCCTTTGGTTTCCCGGGGTAGTCGGAAGCTGGGGTTGTTGCCTTTCAACGGGAAGATAATGGCAGCAAGGTCTACAAGAAAAGGTCCTTCATTTGTGTGCTAGGGAGTGACAAATGGAACCCAGGCAAATGCAAAAGTAGCCAAAACCCTGCAGTCCCCTGGCACCGCAGGTGTGGTGGCGATTCCAGTGGGCCCAAGTTTTTTTTGGTTCTGCCAGAAGGGCAGTGTTTTTCCTTTTGTCTTGCTATGGCCGGGTAAAGGTTAGGCAGGTCAGAATTTCCACCACCTGTGTGAGGTTGCCAAGCGTGGGGAACCAACCTATCTACAAATTCAAAGCTATTCAAGTGGCACCCAAGACCTTCCCCTGTTGCCCCGAGGTCAGCTTCGCCCGGGCCCTGGGCCTGCCGCTCCTGGCTGTGAATCCTGCGAGCGCGGGCGGGGCTCGGGTGCCCAGCAGCTGGGCCCCCGCACTGCGCCAGGAGATCCGGGGCCGGGACTGCATCCTGTTCCTGGATGAGATCGATCAGTACGCCGCTGGGATGCGCCACGAGGGGGGGGGGGGCAGTTCTCGAGGGCTTTGCCTTTATGTTTTTTTGGTTCCTTCTCATTTGCATCCGTTTTTTTTGGGGGGCCGCTTCGGGGATCTGTCGGAAGGCCGGGGACGAGGGTTTCGCCTCGGGCCTGCGGCAATTCCTGGACGGCGTGTGTCAGCCCGCCGGCAGCCGGGTGTTGGTCCTGGGCACCACCAACCAACTCGGGCGGCTCCCGCCGGACGTGCGGCACCGGGCGGAGGTGGTGAAGTTCGACCGCCCGGAGATGACGCACTTGGAGGAGCGCCGGAAAGTACTTGGCCCTCTGGTTTTCGTGGCCGGGTTTGTGTAGGTGTGCCACCATTTTTGTTTGGTGGTTGGTTTTGCGTAGCGAAACTAAGAAAAAACGGCCTGGTTTGAAGTTTGGGACCGTTGGAGGCCATGTGGCGGGTGTATGCCAAGCACCTGAAGCCGGAAGACCTGAGCAAGCTGTCCCGAATCAGCACTGAGGAGAAGGCCGGCGACTCACATTTTGTTTCCGTTCAAGGCGTGTGTTGACGCGGCCAGCGAGATTGGTTGCCGGGTGTAATTTCGCACGTAAATGATACTCAACAAGGGTCCCCAGTCAAAGTTCATTCCCACATTCGCGAACCTTCTCTAGGATAGTCCAAACACGGCACCAAAATGGACAGCACACCCTTTGGACAGGCTCCAAGTTTTGGCCTACGTCCATGCAGACACACACACACACACAGCCTATAGAAAACACCTGGGCGTGTTGCGTTTTATTCCAGGCCACTGGTCGGGATGTGAAGCACTGTGCCTCGCTCTGTGAGCGAGAGAGGGCCATCAGCTACTTGATGCTTGCAGTGAATTTGGCAGTGGGCAGGTCCAGCTGGCTTGTGATTTCAAAATGGAACACGTGTAAGCCAAGCGCTTGATATACGGCAACTGAAACAATTGACTAGACCCTTTTGAGCACCGCAAGCGCAACTTGGGTCATCGTTTGTTCAGTCAAGCCGGCACGTGCCGTCAGTTGTTTGGGCTATCATTTATTTTGGAGGCCTGGAAAATGAGCCCTTGCCGGTTGCTCGAGTGCGTTCGACCGAGGAACGAGCAGAAGGCCTTGGGCTACTGCCACGGAGCTGCGCTTTCAAACTGCCCTGGACCCAACCTAGAGCAGTACATCCGCTGCATCCAAGCGCGGAACATCGAGTGAGACGAGCCAAGATCGTGCACGTCCCCTGGGCAACGCTGCAGTCGCCGCATGGACGGTCGAGGGAAATCCATAGATGCGGGGCCCACTAAAGGGCTCCGAGGCTGGGCGACAGCCAGAAACGTTCGGGAATGCGCAGGCGCGCAGTTGCAGCGAACTCTTCCGTTTTCTGGTCGGTCGGAGCAAGCCCATGGAGACGCGAGCGCAAGCCCAAGGCGCAGTGCCGTTTAGACAAAAGGAGCGCTCGTGACGTTGTGAAGACGCTCTCCGCCTTTTCTTTTCCATGGCTTCAGCCTGGCTTCCGGCAACTTCCGCATTTCTTTGATGCTTATTGTGCCTATGAGAAGTGTTTTTTTCTTGCTTCACTACCATCACCCTCAGAGTAGGGGCCGTTCTGTGCAAATGTAGCAATGGGTATTGAGAGCAGCCTTTGATCACATCCCTTAATGTGAGGGTCTCTAGACGATCCCCTTCTTTCTGAAGTCTCCCTTGATAAGTTCTGAGTCTGTGGCTTTTTTTCGAGGGGTGGACTCTTTGCTTGAGGCTTTCCATGGCTTTTCCATGGCGTCACTGCATCCATGGTCTCGATGCTCGCTTCTCCCGTGGTCTTTGACCGAATTCTTTCAAACCAGCCCGGCGATTTTCTCGACTCGTCCCCGCATGGCTCCACCCCGTTTCCCCCCCGTCCTCCCGCATTTTCCTTTCTTCACCGAACGGGCCGAAACCCGGCCGACCCGAAACCCCGACCCCCGAGCCCGGCCGAAGCCCGGCCGAACCCCGAGCCCGGCCGAACTCGGCCCGAGCGCGAGGACCTGAAGCGGCACCTGCTGGAGGTCCGCGCGGGGCTCCACGACGAGAAGGTGCTGAAGCCCTGCAAGGCCCACAGCGACGAGGCCATCGTCGAGCGCCACAAGCGCCCGCCTCAGAAAAGACGAGTCGAGTCGAGTCCGCGCAAGTGGAGTCCGGGGACTCGGAGACTCGGGGCACTTCGAAGGGTGAGAGGCATTTGAGGGTGGAAAGGAAGGGCAAAAAGCCAGAGGGGCTCTTTTTGAGGATGCCAAAAGGCCCCAAACTTTGTGTTTTTTTGTACTTGTTTGACTTGTGGGTGATGTTTTCCGGATTCGGAAAGTTTCAGGTTTTTGTTCTACAAGCCGCGCCGTTCATCTTTGGATACCATTTGGGTTGGGCCGATTTGTGTCCAGTGATAGTGATTGATGGTACGAAATTGGCCCAGGCGCTGTTTGTTTGATGACGTTGCATGGACAAGCATGGTGCCGGAGACGCGTTGAAACTGTGTGGGGAGTTCCTGGTAATGTATAGGAGAACCTTCAGACACCCTTTAAACGCACCTGTGGTATTAGTGATATGAGCAACGGTAAACTGTTGGTCAATACATTGATTCATTTTGTGCACCAGAAAACCGAAACTCATCAACATCCAATGTCATGGGATAAAAAGCTGACCAACGCTACAAACGTGGCTGCATCCGTCATGGGATAAAAAAAAAACAAAAAAGAAAACACTGAGCATGGCTACGAACGAGGCACCCGGTGCCGCGTGGATTTTTCCGTTTCAGGTTCGTCGTGGCGATGACGGGGCAAGGGCCCGTGGGCAAGTTGACAGGCGCGGAGCACCTCCGAAACCGTCTCGCGAGAAAGTTTTGACGACGTGGAAACCATGGGGGATGGAAGAAACAGGTTCGTCCCCCAAGCAAAAACTCATATTCGAGTCTGTCGTTTTTTGTTTTGTTGCTTTTTTTTAATGTCATAGTTGCACTATGCCTTTCTGGTCCTCCTGAAGACGGACAAGGCTTGGTGGCGGCACTGAACAACTGCAGTGCTAACAAGGGAAATGTCAAGCTGGGAATTGATGCCGTTGGTTGCACGCTTACAGCTGAGCAGCTGAATTTTGAGTCGTGGGCACGCATGTCTGCAGGACAATCATGTGTGCCATGGTCTCACGACCCGCTTACTAGGGGTTGCCAGGGGTTGCCACAGGGGTTGTGAGGGGTTGCCAGGGATTGTCATATGGATCCTTGAATTGCGGGCTAGACAGCCTGTACAAGCTATCCGGATGTCTATAGATGGCACTATGCTATGACTTACAGTGACCGAAGACTATGACTTACACATGGCACATTTGAGCAAATCCGGAGTGTAAGTCGCTATGCGGAACCCATGATGAATTGTCAAGGTGCATATGTCCTATTTAAAGAGTGGCCATACACAGTAGTTCCGTAATGGGAACACACCAGGGGGCACCTACAGAGTTTGGCCGCTGCATGCGTCAGGCACTTGATGGTGAGGTCTTCTCGTTGCTAAAGATCCCTCGAGGCATCTCGTTGTTTCAGGTTTTGGAATGCCAGCCTTCCAGCAAACGTGGAAGTTTATATGGTTGTGGGCGAAAACTTGGGTAACCCCAAAATGGGTTGATCTGAGAGAAGGAAACATGGACTAAAACCTGCGGTTCCCTGGTGGTTTAATTTTGACCCACAGCCATATCATTTACCGACCCTTTCCATGATTGGGGGAAAGCCTTTGGAAGCTGACAGGAGCCTTTGGAAGCTGACCCACCCTTTTCCCCACTGGAAAAGAACCGCCACAGAAGGAAGCCGTGGGAAATTGCCATCTACCATTCCCTTTAGAACGGATCTTCTGTCAGATTCCACGTCTGCTTTTGGTAAGTTTGTACGTACGCATCATGCAATGGGCGAGGCAGATGGTTCAATGCCCTGGATGAGCGGGGTCTGGCGGCCCATTGTGTTGCTGACCACTGGAACGACTGGAACGCCTCCTACAGCACGCACACCAAGGCTCTGTGCTTGACCTTGGCCAAAGATATTGAGTCATCAAAACCCGGGTACTTGGAGAATAGTCAGGGGCACTCCCAGCCATGGTTCTGGGTAGACCATTTTAATGCCTGTTGTGCCAGTTGGTGGAACATCTTTCACCGTGCCACGTTGCCATTTTGCGCCTCGTGGAGACGTGCATTTTTGTCAATCGCGGCCGCAGCCATTTGGGCTGAAGCATTTTGAGAGATCCCCCCCTCTGCCGAATCCGTGAAGACATGTCCGTGAAGCCGATCCGCGAGCATGCCGGGAAGAGCTTGCTGGAGAAGTGGCTCCCGGAGGTCCGGCCTGTGCTGATGTTTTCGGGTCAGTGGGCTCTTTGATGGAGCGAACAAAATCAAGTCAAGCACAACGTGCAGAGTGAAACTGTAAGCCAACCGATCCGAGGCTACCAGATCAAACCGGACCGAGCCAGGCCAAACCAAACGAACCAAACACAACTGCATGAAACCGCATGAAGCCAAACCTACACAAACAAGCCCAGACCAGTCCGGCCACAATCGAGCATATAGACCGACCCAATCACAAAGCATTCTCAGTTTTTGACACGAACCCATCTTGATAGGTTCCACATGGTCGTCTTTCAACAGGGCTCCTCCAATGTTCCATTTCCCTTCTCCCTTTGGTTTTGACACTAATATTTCATTCGGTCCACCCCAGTCCAGTTTTTTTTTTTTTTTTTTGTGGGGACTCACAAAGTTTCTCATGCCCATTCGTGGGAACTGCACATGTTGACCATGGCTCATACTTGCCATGATCAAACACTCCTTTACTTTCTGTTGGCAATGATTGTCATCGCCTGAACAGGCATTCTAGACAAAGATAGTAAGTGCCCCATCGGTCTCCCTTCAAACCAACAAAAAGCAGCCACCCATATTTGTCCCCGAACAGGGGCTGCACACCAAAAATCCTCCCTCCACCTGAACCACATCCAACCTTCTCCAAACTCCCGACCCACCCCTTTTCCCTCACCTCAAAGCACATGGCTCGTTGCGCAGGTGTCGGGGGGCAAGCACAAGATGGGGTGCGCGGGGGTGCTTGTGACCCCGGCAGTGCTCGACTCCACCAGCAGTCAGACCTGGGACAAGATCCTGCAGGAGTTGACAGACTTGTTTGGGCAGGGTTAGGTTTAGATTTTGGTTTAGTGTGGGTTTAAAGATATATTTTTTGATTTGTTCTTGGGTTCATGGACAGTTGAGGGAGGGTTCAGGTTCGGGCTTGAGCTTCTGAGGTTGTTTGTCACATTTACGGGACACGGACCTGTAAAGTGGGCCGGCGAATCTACCCTGATGTTTGAATCATGCTCATATTGAAGGCTGGACCAAAGAAGCTTTTAGAATGCGGTGCCCCTTCTGCGGCTTGGTCCACATTTGTATCGAAAGGGGTGGAACTGCAAATTGTGGCAACTGTCGACCTTGTGAACGTGTCAAGGGAGGCCTCCTATTGCCTTCGAGTGCAGCCTTTTGGGGTTGTTTTCACAGGAAGCCAAGAGGACATTACCCACTTTGGGAGATTTCTCAATTTGGAGACAAACTCAAGTGGGTTGGTCCAGAAACTGATTGGACTGACTCCCAAAATGTGTTGGGGCCTTCAATTCAGCAAAACACAGCCCCCCCCTTCTGTTCCTTGGCCTGTCAAAAGGGTTAAGGGGTTTCGAGACACCTTGAGGGAGCTTGCCAAAATCTGAAGAGGTTACTGGAGGTCTGCAGCAGTCACACAGCAAGGGCATTTGCATCTCTTTGAGTTATTTTTCTCTCCGTGGCAACACTTTGAGAGTGGAAACCAGGCAAGCGTCGACGCAAGGGAGTCTTCTGGGTGATTGCAAAAGCAGCTGGCCACTTCTAACTGCCAATTTCCGCCGCGAGGGAGCAATTCAGGGGTGCTCCAGCCCTACAAAAGATGACCGAGCAAGGGTAGGATTTTTGGCAAATGCAATGGGTGAGCTTGTCGTGCTTGTGCATCTTAAGATGGGTATCCATGTTCTTATGGCGTCCGATCCATTCAGGAGAACCCTTGGCTAAAGACCACCAACCTGGTGGCCAAGCCGGACCAGCTGATCAAGCGCCGGGGCAAGGCGGGCCTCCTCGCGGTGAACAAAACCTTCGACGAGGCCAAGGCTTGGATCATGGACCGCATGTGCAAGGCGGGCTCTGGGCCCAAAAGGGCGGCCCGGGGGGGGGGGTGGGGAGGTTCCGGAGCCGGAGGTTCGCTGGAACGCTTTTGCAACCGGTGGCCTATGCGAAACCCCTGAGGCAGGGTGTATATGTGTTTCTGCCAAACAGGGTGGTGACCCAACTCTTCACAGGCCACCAGCACCCCTACTGTGGATGGCGTCCTGCACCACTTTGAAGCCGTTGTTGAAACTATTGTTTGTCGGTATAAATACCAGGGGAATCGAATCATAAACTGTTGGGTTTCTGAACGGTGGTGCGAAATGAGAATTCCGGAACCATCTACTCCCCCCTGAGGCAGGTTATATTCTTTTCCAGCAAACAGGGTGGTTGTGACCCAACTTTTCACAGGATACCAGGACCCCCCTTATCACTGACTTCATGGGAAGTGCAAAGCTGCAAGGAACAGAAGGTGGAGCACGTCACTGGGCAGCTGACCCACTTCCTGATCGAGCCTTTCGTGCCGCATAAGCAGGAGACGCGGCTTTTTGGTTTGGCCTGTTTCAGAAACAAAGAATCAAAGGCACAGAGAAACAAAGAAACAAAGAAACAAGAAACAACACAACACAGAAACAAGGAAACACATAAACAAGAAACACATACACAAGGAAACAAAGAAACAAGTCAACAAAGAAGCAAGCACACAGAACCCGAACAAGCAAAGAAACACAGAAACAGACAGACAAACAAATAAACAAACAAAAACAAGCAAGCAAGCCAACAAGCAAGCAAGCAAGCAAGCCAGCCAGCAAGCAAGCAAGCAAGCAAGCAAGCACACAACCAAGCAACCAAACAACCAAACAACCAAACAACCAAGCAAACAAACAAACAAACAAGCAATCAGACTGCCAGACAAACAAGCAATCAAACAAACGCACAAGCGAACAGACAAACAGACAAACAGCAAAAAACTTAGCAAACAAACAAGCAAGGAAACAAGGAGCCACACATAAAATTGGTTACTGTAACAAGTAAGTTTTGTACATCAATACAGACATACATACATACATACATACATACATACATACATACATACATACATACATACATACATACATACATACATACATACATACATACATACATACATACATACATACATACATACATACATACATACATACATACATACATACATACATACATACATACATACATACATACATACATACATACATACATACATACATACATACATACATACATACATACATACATACATACATACATACATACATACATACATACATACATACATACATACATACATACATACATACATACATACATACATACATACATACATACATACATACATACATACATACATACATACATACATACATACATACATACATACATACATTACATACATACATACATACATACATACATACATACATACATACATACATACATACATACATACATACATACATACATACATACATACATACATACATACATACATACATACATACATACATACATACATACATACATACATACATACATACATACATACATACATACATACATACATACATACATACATACATACATACATACATACATACATACATACATACATACATACATACATACATACATACATACATACATACAGACACACATACATACATACATACATACATACATACATACATACATACATACATACATACATACATACATAAATGCATGCATGCATGCATGCATGCATGCATACATACACACATACATACATGAATGCATACATAAATACAAGAACCAATCAACACAAACTTAATCAGTAAATGAATTAATAAACAACTAGAAACACATATGATAATTTACACATACATAACGCCTCTGGCAATACGTTGTTGTGGGTACCAAAATGGTTGGTTTTGCCAGGATGGCCTTCACCAACATGGGTGTGTGTTCTTGAGGCTACCCTGTTGCTTATTGTGACACCAACATGAACATCGCCACTCCCTTTTGGGACCTATTTGACACGAGCCCTCAAATCAAAGGGACACCCAAGGGAACACCCTAAAACATGGGACTCTTTGAGTTGGTGGGTCAAAAGCTCGGCTCTAATACATTGATGTTTGTGGCTCCAAAGTAGGAATCGTACTTCCTAAAATGTCCTGGATGAAAAAGTTGTTGCCCTCCCTCTCACGAACATAGCATTTGTGGGAAATTTCTTGGAAGAACAGCTTCCCCTTAAAAGGACCAGGGTTTCGTGTCAGGTGCCATGTTAGTGGGAGGAAGGGTAAAACCTCAAGTGTAGTGTGTCGGGTCGCCGAGTTTTCAAGTTGTGCCTTGCGCTCACAACACCCACCTTCCTTGCGGGTAAAAGGCAGGCGAACAGAAAGGTCAGGCTCAATTCTTCATGTTTCTCCCACTCAGTTGCCGGACCCAGAAATAAAAGGTCAACCTTTTGGTTCCACTACACATGGACCAAATCAGGGATACCAGATGGTTAGAATGTCGGCTTTAAACTAGTAAGCCCAAGAACACACGGGAAGTTCAGCGCCTCTTGGCTTTGGGAAAAAAATGGAGCCTCGTCAAACTTCATATGAGAGTGTCTTGTTTTGAGGCTACTTTTTGTTTGGGGGGGGGCCTTTGAGTTCCTTTGAAATAGCCACTAAACAGATGCCCTGAAAAAACAGCCTCATGTGGGTTGAAGTGCTAATTGGGGGCCCACACTGGCGGACACCACTTGGGGGATTTCTTCTAGGAGATTCGTTTGCCCCGAGGAGCAGGAGCACTACATCTGCATGCTGTCGCATCGGTACCACGACGAGATCTTGTTTTATCACGAGGGCGGGGTGGACGTGGGGGACGTGGACGCCAAGGCGGAGCGTTTGGAGCTGCCCACCGGGGAGGGCCTCACAGAGGCGAAGGTCACCAAGGACGCTTTTTTTGTTGCGCGATCCATGCATGATTCGGTTTTCATGTGACCCGTTTTTCATGCCTTGTAGCCAATGACTTACTCCCTTCAAAAACTCACATGGAGCCCCAAAAAGGGGGTCCCCCAAAGGGATATATAGATATATAGAAATATAATCATCTTTTACGATAATTCCCACACCTGAAATAAGGAATCCCACAGTAAAGGAACTTTTCCATGGTGAGCTCGTTTTTTTTGCCCCCAGGCGAGCTCGCCATAGATTATGCAGATACATAAATGGGTAGAATGTTTCGGGTTCCATGTCTTGACGCGTAGGTTCCATGCCCTTGAAATCCCCCGCCTTGAGATCCCAGGAGCTCCTCAGCAAGCTGTCCGACGCCAAGAAGGCGAACATGGCCTCCTTCATCGTCAGCCTCTACAAGTTCTACACGGATCTGCACTTTGCGCATCTCGGCCGGACATGCTTGTTTTCTCAGGGGCCCTTGCGGGCGCTTGGTGGTTTTCTGATTTTGTTTGTTTGCTGATTTGTTTTTTATTTTTATTTTTATTTTTTGCTTGTTTGTTTGTTTGTTTGTTTGTTTGTTTCGTGGGCTCCCCTTTGATGTGTCCGGAAAGCAGCTGAATCAGCCTGAGTCGTTTTCTGTTCGACAGGTACCTGGAGATCAATCCCTTGGTCATGCTGGACGACAACACGGTGATCCCCCTGGACATGGCCGCCAAGATCGACGAGACCGCCAACTTCCTGGTGGCGCAGAAGTAGCTCGGACATGAGAAACATGGGGACAACCCCGAAATTTGTCTTTGAATGGGAAGAGCTGTTTATGCCCCCTGGCCCATGACTCCCTTCACCTTAGTGCCTATGGCTCAGGCTGCCAACATTGCGAACGATCATCTTGTGTTTTGTTTTTACATGTGTTTTTTGAGGTTTGCCGGATACGCGCGGCTCGTTCTTGCGTATTAGGATTTTTGCGGGACAACCCCCTGGCTGCGGACCAGGGGTCGAACCCGGGAAACGCTCCGAGCTTCGCGGAATGCTAGTTCGAACTTGGCCTGCCACATGTGGCATTCGCATGTTGGGACCAGTAGTGCTGTTGTATGTCGTTGATGTTTCCATGCCGCAAAAAGAAGCCGGCAGAGCACCTGGACCGCCTGAGCCTCTGACATGGGTCTTGTTTCTTAGCGCTCGACCTCAGGTGGGGGGAGCTGGACTGGCCTCCGCCCTTCGGGCGCGCCGCCTACCCCGAGGAGGCGCTGATCCACGAGATGGACGGCAGGAGAGTCGAAGTGCCGTGGGTGAACGCCTCGAGCCAATGGGCTGAACGCTTAAAGCCTTGGGAGGGAAACACACCGAAGTTGCGGGGGTAGCTGCGTGAGTCGTGACTCAAAATCTCTCCAGGAATTTCCTCGCCTGGTTTTAGAAACAAAGAAACAAAGACACAAAGACACAAAGAAAACAAGAAGCAACTCAACAAAGAGATGAAGAAGCAAATAACCAAATAAGCAACAAAAACACAGACATAAATAGTAAAAGCAAGGAAGACACAGAGACACAAAGACACCAACAAGCAAGCTAACAAAAATCAACAAGCAAACAAACCAACCAACCAACCAACCAACAAACAAACAAACAAACAAACAAACAAACAAACAAACAAACAGGGACCCCTGTTTACTTGATCCACGTCTAACCGTTCAACCAAGCACCTAGGATCAAATGTTGAGACTCGAGGGGAAATACCTGAAGTCCCAACGGTACTGCCTGCACCGTCCCCCAAAGATGAATGCAATACCCCGTTGGGAAGCCGCAGTCACTCAGCGAGCTCGATTGTTTTGTTGTCCGATCACAGTCCTGGGCAGCTTCGCTGCCCTTTCACGGTAGCAAGGAACTTTGAATCCTAGCTACGGGGACTATGATACTTGAGCCAAAATGATGTTGCATGTAATTCCTACAAAATATGTTTGCCATGGGGAAACTATTCACACCCCTAGCACGTTGAGGCTCGTTCCGAGCCACCCGTGCATAGGCAGAAATCACATGTCCTTTGGCTCGCTCTCTCTCTCTCTCTCTCTCATTATTTTTCATGCATATGCATGTCATAAAGCTATGTTATCCTAATTGCTGCTCCAGTCGCCTCAGTGACCCTCTTCAGCATCAAAATTGCAGCTTCTCAGAGGCTCCAGGGTGCGCATTGAATACCGGCACTGCTTAGTCGGCTTTTACTGGTGATTGGCTTCAGCTGAAGATCAGATTCCATCCACTGAGAGGGCTGATAGGGAAAGCCCTTCACTGGTGGTTTGGATTTGTGGTTTGGGGATTTGTGAATGGTTCTTGTAGAGATCAGATGGGACTCCACCTCGGAAGACCGTATTGGAAGCCTCGCAAATCTCGTGGAAGTCCCTTTGACAAGCCGTTTCCGCAATGAATATGGTTTGGTGTATCAGGCTTGTGGTTGGCAACTTGAATTCAGAATTCGTTTCCTGCGCCATGAAGGTGGATGTTCACTTGCCCAGTGGAGAAGATGGTTGCTCCGTAGCAGTCTCTCCGGACACCGCTGAGTCGGGTCGGGCTGCGAGATGGGGATGTGGTGGATGCGGTTGTGCAGCTGGGCAAGCTGGCTGCCTGCGGTGCGGCGTTTGCTTGGCATGGCCACGTGGACGAGGTTGTGACTTGGGGTAATAAAGAATCGGAGGGACACAGCAGCCTGCAAGAGCAGTTGAGGAATGTCCAGCACATCGAACCAACTGCTGAGGGTGCGTTTGCTGCCATTCTTGAGTCTGGGGCTGTTGTGACCTGGGGTGTTCCAGAATACGGCGGAGACAGCAGCCAGGTGCAAGAAGAGCTGAGGCACGTCCAGTGCATCCAAGCAACTGATCGCGCTTTTGCTGCCATTCTTGAATCTGGGGCTGTTGTGACCTGGGGCGATCCAGATTTTGGCGCAGACAGCAGCCAGGTGCAAGAGCAGCTGAGGAACGTCCAGCACGTCCAAGCAAATGCCTGCGCTTTTGCTGCCATTCTTGAATCTGGGGCTGTTGTGACCTGGGGCGATCTAGAATTCGGCGGAGACAGCAGCCAGGTGCAAAAACAGCTGAAGAATATCCAGCACATCCAAGCGACTGCATTCGCTGCCATTCTTGAATCCGGGGCTGCTGTGACCTGGAGTCCTCGAGAATTCGGCGGAGACAGTAGCCAGGTGCAAGAGCAGCTGCGGAACGTCCATCACATGCAAGCAACTGGCCGCGCTTTTGCTGCCATTCTTGAATCTGGGGCTGTTGTGACCTGGGGTGATAAATAACGCGGCGGAGACAGCAGCCTGGTCCAAGAGCAGCTGAGATATGTCCAGCATGTTCAAGCAACTGCCGAGAGTGCTTTTGCTGCCATTCTTGAATCTGGGGCTGTTGTGAGATCCACGCTATGGCGGAGACAGCAGCCAGGAGCAAGAGCAACTGAAGAATGTCCAGCGCATTCAAGCAGCTGGCACTGCTTTTGCTGCCATTCTTGAATCTGGGGCTGTTGTGACCTGGGGCGATCCAGAACACGGCGGAGGCAGCAGCCAGGTGCGAGAGCAGCTGAGGAATGTCCAGTCCATTTAAGCCACTTATGGTGCTTTTGCTGCCATTCTTGAATCCGGGGCTGTTGGGGTCATCCCGGCTACGGCGGAGACATCAGCCAGATGCAAGAGCAGCTTGTAGTTTGCTGATGTTGCATGTACTTCGCCGCAAATCCGTTGAACAAACTTTGTGAAGGAACACCAGGCGATCTCCATAGTTGGATTTAAAGTGCTTAGGACTTGGGTTATGAACTGCACTGTTGCAACCACTGCCCGCCTAAACCAGAGGAACCCGCCCTGGTTTGCCTTTTGCCCTCGATTTCAAGGTTCCGAGACCCCGACTCCTTTTCAGCGGGCCCTGCTTCCTGAACTTTCGCTCAACTATGAAGAAAACCATACCGCCGATCCCAGTTTGATGGAAGTCCACCAGTTTGAGAAGCTCTGATATGGATGTCTTCAAGCCTAAGATGCGCAGCATGCCGAAGCAGCGCATTGCGAGAAATTGCCATTTGCCGAAAGCCGCCGCGCCAAAGCGAGTTGCTTCATTCCACAAGCATCCCCACCCCCTTATAGATGGAATTGGGGGAGGGGGGTGACCCCTGAAATTCCTTTTTCGGCTCCATGTTTCCCTTTGACAAGGTAGTTGGAAAGGGGGGACCCCCCCATCCCGAAAGCTTAATGGGGGGTTCACAAGCATTGCAACCGACGAGATCATTGGTTTCGGTAGCGGGCAGAACCATGCCATGACATGGATTTGGAAAGTGATGCGGGCAGGTGGTGCACCAACAGAACTTGAAGTGGAAGTCACCTTAGTGGTTGGTGGGGACTGTCATGGGCCCCTGGAATGTGCACTATTGCAAGGATTCCTGGGCATTCATAAAGATGCCTCCCAAGATAGCAGTTAGTCCCCTTAAGGAATTGTCAGATGACCATAAGGAATGGGATAAGGGAACCATGGCGACACGGCCCTCCCAAATCTGGGTGTCCCCATAGCACATACTCCGCCGTGTCTATCATGGAAGGCCTGGGAGGTTTTTTTTTGGGTTCTAGGTTAATTGGCAGCGGTGCATTTACGTAGTCTTCTATGGTGGTTGTATATCCCCATTGTGTCCTTAGTGGTTTGGGGTGGGTTTGGTTTCCGTTGGTTGACAAATATGTTCAAAGGGGACGATCCAGGATACCCCAGAAGCAAAGGTCATCAGATTCTTGTTGCTGACAGTAGATGTTAGTTGACCAATTCCACCCCGAACATGTGCCCGCGCCATTTGGCAGGACGGGCGCCTCTCTGAAGCTGACCATCTTGAGCCTGCTCCAGATTTGGCAGAGCTTTCCGAGGGGCAAATCTGGACATCTTCTGGGTGTATTGTCTATTTTGCGTAGCACGTCATAGCTTTTTCCCCCTGCCTCCTTCTAGTTTTCCCTGGTTGTTTTTTCCTCCGGACATTGTCTGAGACATTCTGCAGGCCCGCCTGGCCAACACAACGCCGAAACCAAACTAACGAATACAATCAGACGCAGCCAGCAAACAAACTATATCAAACAAATGATGCCAAAACCAAAAGGCTAGAACAAAGCAATACAAAAGGAGACTGAAAGCATGCAGCCAATACGTGCCCAGAGCCCTCACAACAGACTAGAGTAATATATTTCACAAACACCTGGCCACCTCAAGCATTGCGCTAAGCCAGAAACTACAATACAGGTCGCAGGCACAAGAGTCTGTGGATCGACCACAATTTCAGCTGATTTCCAGCTAGTCCACATATTGACCACGTCGATGGCGTCCAACACACCTTCTTCATGGTGCTCCACCTCACTGCAGAAACCACGATTGACGTTGGCCTCCCTGTCATCACCAAGGATTCATTCCGAAAAGCTTCCTCATGTTTGCCAAGCTGCGGGAGCACATTCAAGCATCCGGAGTTAGCTCCCCAAAACCAAGCTGCGAAGCCCTTTGCACGCCCTCCTGTAGCACCAGGCAAAGCAGCTTGACCAACTGAAAATCATACTGGGGTGTCCGTAACCACCTCGTAGCAAGCGTAGGCACCTTGCTTCGACATTGCCTTTGGCATCCATGCTCATGAACGATACCGCCAATTGCCTCTGCAGAATGTCACACCACCCTATAGATCCCGGCCCACTAAACAAAGATGAACATGGCGTCCAATCGGTCGAAACAGCTGCAATGCCCACTGGAAGGCTTGGGACGGGGACCAAAAGCAAAAGCCACGCAAGACACATACATCCCCCAAACCACTGGTTCCCCAAGCCATTGCTGATCCTCAGCAGGGAATGAGGGGACGACCCCCATAAACCATCCATCGTATGGTTTCCTTTATTTGGGAATCCAACCAAAACCCTCATTTCCAGCTGAGCAAACCCCCCAGCTATCGCACCAGCCAAGGAACGAGAAGGGCCGCGTCTGGACCATGGTGGCCGGGGGTGGCGCCTCGGTGGTTTATGCCGACACGGTGGCGGACTATGGCATGGGACACGAGCTGGCAAACTACGGGGAGTACTCGGGGGCCCCCAGCACACAGGAGCTCGAGTTTTTGCAGCCGCAAAGAGTTTGTTCGTGGTTGGAAGCTCTTCTTCTTTGGAGCTGCAACCGCTTTGGATAGACCTTGGGGTAAGGAGGTCAATCAGCAGGTCTGGGAAACCAGCACATTTGGTTCAAACCCGAATGTTGCGGTTTGATTGACGGCGGTGCCAGGGGGTGGTTTCGAAGTAAAAACGGGGCTGGGCTTATGTTGTCGGTCGGGGTCATTTTACAGGTAATCAAGGGGAAACCCAGCAAGGGCTTGTCAAAATTTGAGGCTTGGTACCCTTTTTGGGCTTGTTTTTTTTTCGTCGGACAACAGACAAGCCACCGTTTTTGGTGTACCCCTATGAGATAAACCCATTTTGACTGGTCCTTTTCTCTGACACCCTAAAACCACCTGGATGTTAGTCCGTGAGAAACCCGTGGACCTGCTTTGGGCGCTTCCCTCGAGAAAGGACACTGACTCGAAGTTGGCCCTTTTCAGGTGATGCGTTTCTCAAGCTTGCCCCGCGTGTGGTTTGAATATTTGTCGGGTTTCCATTTGGGGTCCATGGAACCTGGTCGTTTCTCTTCAGGAGACCTTCGTGTATGCCAAGACTTTGCTGTCCCTGATGATGACGCCTGGAAGAATATGGGGGGGGGGGGTGAAGCCAATGATTGGGGTCACGCCAAACAGCAACGGTCAATATTTGCTTGTCATCTGCTGTAAAGGGGATGACATGGGGTACACTCGACCAAGATACCACTAGGACATGGGATTGCTCACCTAATTCCCATGTCAGCTGGCCTGTTGGCCTGCAGTGGGGAAACCAGCATGAAAGCCGCCATTTTGGGGCATCCCAAAAATGCACCCAAATGGTCTTTCCCTCCATGTGCAGTCCTATACATTTGGCCTTGCACCCTTCCCTTCACCATTTGTGGCCCCCCTTTGTTGAGAAGAGGGGGGGGGGATTTTCCATTTGTGCCCCCCCTTTTTTTTCTTTTCCCTAGTGCCACCCAAAAATGGGGCGGGGGGGGGGGGGGGGGGATTTTTTTCGCTAGGAAGTACAAGCACCCGGACGGGAAGTTCCTGATCATCGGCGGCGGCATCGCCAACTTCACGGACGTGGCGGCCACCTTCACCGGGCTCATCAAGGCGCTGCAGGAGTACGCTGACGACATCAAGGACAGGCGTCGAGTCGGAAGGCAGGCCCAGAAATCCGCTCGGTTTGAAGGAAACCCCCAGGGAGAGTGAAAGATGTCCGCAAAAATTGTACTCTAGTGATGGCTTGGAGGGAAATCAACTGGCCCCAAAAAGTGAGTTTGACAATCCCTTACAGAAGCCCCCCCAAAAGGGGAAGGGTGCCCTACATGGGAGGTTCCTTCAAAAGCGAGGAGCTTTCATGGTCAGTTTTCAATGCCGACGGAGTTCGAGGGACTTGATTGAATTTCCCTTGTTCTGGGAGATATCCTGCCTTAGAAATTCGCCCATCTAGACAGGGTTCCACTTTTTGACTACTCCAAGAGACTCCAAGGTAGACTTGAGCCCCCCAAAAGGAGAACCGATTCCTTTTGTTTTTGGTGGTCAAAAGGTGGGGGTCCCTAAATCGAGACCTTCGAAAGACGCGAGGAGAACAACATCAAGATCTTGATCCGGCGCGCCGGGCCGAACTACCTGGAGGGCCTGCGCAAGGCCCGGAAGGGGAGGGGGGAGGGAGCGGTCCACCAGTTTCTTCAGGGGCCCCGGGCTCTTGGGTGTCTTTTTGAACCCCCTTTTGGGTTGGTTGTAAAGGGAATCTACAGGGACATCCCGCCATTTTACGGGGTGCTGCTATTTGAAGACAAACCAAAGGGAAACCAAAGGGAGACCGCCGCCGTTTCGGGCCGGGGTTCCCCTTCGAGGCTTGCACATTTGTCGATGCTAGTTGTGTTTTTGGGGCAGGAACCTTAGGGACATGATTTGTGAAAGGGGTGCGCTTGACATGGGCGTGTCTTTTTTATTTTTATTTTGGGACCCCCAAAATGGCTTCGGTTTTCCTTTTGGTTTCCCTTTAAAATCATAACAAGGGATACGTACTCTCAAGAAAAGACGAGCCACCCACATGCTCGGTTTCGCGCTGCAAGTTTTGACACCGCGCATGGCAACTGGGCACAGGATGCAAGCAAATGCTGTCACTGCAAGGCCACGGTCACACGTTTGCGGGGACAGTAACATTTGGCAATCTAAAAAAGACTTTTCCTCTTCCTAAGCAGCAATGATCAACCGATAAACAAACATGGGAAGGCCAACAAACACAAAACAACAACCTTGAGAAAGCCCCCAAAAAACAGCGTCTGGTTGGTCGGTCGGTCGGTCGGTCGGTCGGTCGGTCGGTATTTTGTTTGTTTGTTTGTTTGTTTGTTTGTTTGTTTGTGTGTTTGTTTGTTTGTTTGTTGTCCATGTTTTTTGCTGGTTTACTTTGAAGTGAGTATTTTTTTTTTATTAAATGGACTTGCACGCATTAGGAAGAGTCAAAGCTATTTTATAGCATTGAAACAACACCGTAGAATATTATTGGTTTTTGTATTTTGAAAGCGTAGAACACCGGAATAGGCGGTAAACGTGAACGCATTTTAGCAGCCCAACTGGTCAGGTTTTGCACATACACTTTCATGATTCTGCATCCTAAACATCAGTCTGCGCATGCGATACCAGGCAGTCAGGCATTAAACATGTGCACTGTCAATACATATGCATTTTGGATGACCTCAAACAAAAATCAAAGCGACGTAGGTGAAGGCCGCCAGCGAGAAGCTGGGCTTAGGCATCAAGGTCTACGGGCCCGAGACCCACATCACCGCCATCATCCCCATGGCCCTGGGCCTCATCGCGGACTTGCCGGAGCCCGACCTGTCGGCGCCCTGCGGGCCGCCGGTGCGCAAGATGATCGACCTGAAGGCAGAGGGGTGCTGGGAGTTTAGTGGGGTGAGGTCGTGGGGTTGGGGACAAAAGGGTTGGCAAGGTGTTGACGCTGGCCATTTGGCCAGCGCAGAGACTGGGATGTGAAGGAACACTTTAGATGAGCCCACGGCCATGTTCCGCGCTTGAGTTTTGACCACGGCCAAGAGGTTCGGTCAAATTATCCACTATGGTCCGGTCCATTGGTGAGGGCCATGAGGAGGGCCATGCACGAAATGGCGCGCAGAAACCTGGGTGACTTACTATGAGAACTTACATATCCCTATTCGGGATTAATGTGTACATTTGACACCCAGCTATATTAGGGACGCCTCCAAGTGGTGGGTTTACCTCCTGTATTCTTTTTAATCATCCGAAAGGTGGTCTTCATTTTGAGACCACTGGGGACCATTGCCGCTTGGAGGGTCCTGAGTTCGTTTAGGCATTTAGCTATAGTGGTTTTCCATGCTGATATGGAATGCTTGGGCAAATTGCTTACTATCTTATCAATAGGTATGATTCAGTTGTCAATCGTGTTTGCTTGTCCACAACCTTTTGACATTTTCTTTTGTGAACTCATGAGCTTTGTCCAATGTCGTTTCTTAAACATGGCTGGTTCATAGTCAACAGCAACTTTTCCATGTTTGCACCATAAGCACCCCCGATTTTGGCAACGGACGTTTCAACCGGCTCAAGCAAGGAAGCGTTTTTGGTAGGGCTGAGGGCGTTCCATGGATCACAGTAAATGGAACCATATACCCTGAGGAACCCACAAGGCCCTTTGAGGAAAATGGGACACTTAGGGATTTCCAGCCAGATTGCAATTGACGAGGGGCTAAAGACTTGCTGCAATTTGCTCCTATGGCTCGGTTTTGTTTTCAGTATCCCGCGCCTTGGCTGGCTTCCAGTCAGTTTCCACGATGGAGGTCGGTGGGAGGGTGACCAGATTCATGTCACTATCGTGTAAAAAACACGTCCTGGTTTCTGTAGGGCGACCGATGTCTGGTTGGTTACACGCTCCTCGAACCAAGCCTGGTAGGAAATCGACGCCCGGTTTTCGCGTTTGGGGGCCCGGCTCAGGGCAAGAAGCCGACGCCCAAGGGCCACCCGGCTCCGCCGGCGGGCACCAAGCACACGCTGGTCACCGCCACACCCGACACCACGCGCCGCGGCTGGCTGGCGGGGTTGGTTCAGCCAAAGGGGAGTCATCCATTTTTTGAGTTTCACGTTTTCAGGGGTCAGATACACCAAAACACACCAAAAAAGGAACCTTCACCACATGGTTGAAAGCTGATTTCACGGTTTGAATTCAGAGGACTCAATTGGAAGTGCGGGTCCATTTTGAACAACGGGGACACAGAAGGACGCAGACCTGGAAGCACACTGACTTTGGGACAAGGTTGTCCAGAAAGGTTGTCTGTTTGAACAGATTTGTTTCCCAGCCATGTCTAGCCTTTCTTTTAGCCAGATAGCATTTGTCTGTCGTGCCCAGTTCAAGTTTTAGGTATGTATATATATATACAATCATAGATAGATATATATATATAATACAGTTGCTGTCTGGAATTTTAGTAGGGAATCCCCTCAAAAATTGGTTGGTGGACATTTATCCCTACATAATTTATGTCCACCAAGGTGTCCTGCCCATATGTAGATACTTTCCCTACATACATCATACGTCTGTACATAAACACTCCATTGGAGGTTCTAGGTCCCCCCCGGGCCGTGGACGCTTAGCGTCCATTTGGCGGCCAGCTTTGCACTTGGGTAAACCTTTGAAACAGTCTGTGTTTTTTTTTTTTTGTGTGTGTGTGTGTGTTTCCACTTCGCTCGCGCGACCCTCTACGCAGTTTGGGCGGGTGGACCTTCAAAAAACTCGGAGCTTTGAAGTTCGCTCCAAGAACTCTGTGCGCACTTTTTGCGGGTCGCCGTGCAACAACTTGTTTTGTTTTCTGTGTTTAACGTGTTGCGCTTCGCTGGCGCAGCCCTCGGAGTTTCGGTGAGTCGACGGTTTTGAAGCTTATTTATCATGCTTTCACAGAAAGATTGGACATATGGATAGTCAAGGTTTGGGGCCAGGGAGTGCCGGCGGGTGCGGGGGCACACAAACATGTGCAGATGATCTTTTGACAAAGTTATTCCGAATCTTCACTGAGTCTTGCCTTGCCTTTAGGTGCATCGTATACGGCATGCAGAACCGCGCGGTGCAGGGCATGCTGGACTTCGACTACATGTGCAAGAGGAAGCAGCCCAGCGTGGAGGCCATGATCTTCCCCTTCTCGGGGAACCACTACGTGAAGTTCTACTGGGGCACAGAGGATGGGGTGGCAAGCAGAATAGGCGACAAAAAACTGCCATGGACGCAACAACCACGGTGCCCTCAAAAAGGCAAACACGAACGGAACAGATTCAGAATAGGAAGAATAACAGCCGATTTCCACGAAACCCTGCTAAAGGGAGACAAACAACATGAGTGCTTTACTACCATGTTTGCACAGCAGGTAGCTGCAAGGCTAAAAGAGAGATATTCTTCAGATCCAAAACATGGACTTCGGTGGTCCTCCTTGACACGTGTTCTTCGCTTGAAGGGACATTGGTTCAAAACCCCGGATAATATACTTGCTGCTTGGAACATGGTTGGTTTCCCAACATCAGGTTGCATCTCACGGACATTGCTTAGATTTTGGCCTCCAGGCAGTACCTCTTTCATTCACAGTAGGAAGACAATCCAAGTGCTCGACAATTCATCATAGTTCCCTGTAAAAGCGTCCCCAGCAGGATCCGAGGCCATTTTGTCCGGGAACGGAGCGAGACAGAGAGAGAGAGAGAGAGGGAGAGATAGGAAGAGAGGGAGCAGCTAACGAAAGATGCAATCAATAAAGGGGAACAACAAGTCATGAAGGAAAGATGGAGAGAGAAAAAATAAAGAAAGAAAGAAAGAAAGAAAGAAAGAAAGAAAGAAAGAAAGAAAGAAAGAAAGAAAGAAAGACAGAAAGAAAGAAAGAAAGAAAGAAAGAAAGAAAGAAAGAAAGAAAGAAAGAAAGACAGAAACAGACAAGAAAGAAATAAGTCCAAAAATGACAGAAGGGCAGAAAGAAAGCAGGAAATAAAGAAAGAAAGAAACAACCAAATACATAAATAAATAAAGAAAGACAGTCAGGAATAAATAAATAAATAAAGACATACGTAAATAAAGAAACGAATCAATAAAGAACACCAAAGACAGAAAAGCAGAAAGAAAGCAACAACAACATATATAAGTAAATAGAGAAAGAAAGAAATAAAGAAAGACAGACACAAGGAAACACGGAAGGGCGGACGGACGGAAGGGAAGGAAGGGAAGGGAAGGAAAGGAAAGGGAAGGGAAGGGAAGGAAAGGGAAGGGAAGGGAAGGGAAGGGAAGGAAGGAAGGAAGGAAGGAAAGAAGGAAAGAAAGACAAAAAGAAAGACCAAGGACAGGACAGGACAGGACAGGACAGGACAGGACAGGAAGGAAAGGAAAGGAAAGGAAAGGAAAGGAAAGGAAAGGAAAGGAAAGGAGCGAAGGGCAGAAAAGAACGAAAGAAAAGAAAGAACATCAAGAACAAAGGAAGGACACCAATAAGGAAATAAGCAACGTAAAGAAAGAACGCAAAGAAAGAACGTAAAGAAGGGAAGCGGAAGAACCTAAAGAAAAATGAACAAAAGGGAAAGGAAAGGAAAGACATATATACATTGAAAGGAAAGGAAAAAAAAGAAAAGGAAAGAAAAGGAAAGAAAAGGAAAGAAAAGGAAAGAAAAGGAAAGAAAAGGAAAGAAAAGGAAAGAGAAGGAAAATACAGGAACAAATAGGAAAGAAAGGGAGAGGAAAGGAAAGAAAAGGACGGAAGAGCAAAGAAAAGAAGACACAAGACCGGACAAACTGAAGAACACAAGAACATATCAAAACAACAAGTCGTGACAAAACAACAGAAAGACAGAGAAAGCAGATGCCGGGTTTTTATGTATTGCCCCGTCTTTTGGCTGCCCCACGCGGCGGGAGTTGTCTTTTTTCTTTTTTTCTTTTTTGTTTTTCTCCTCTTTTTCTTCTTCCTTTTTTTAATCAGAGGAAGGGGTGTTTGAACCCGAGTTGCGGGAACGACCCCGAAAAAAAAACCCATGCATCCTATGGTTTCCTTTATTCAGACCAAAATTGGTTCGTTCTCACCTCCCGGATACTCGGTCAATCCCTACCTATCGCACCAGCACGTGTTGGAACCCGAGTAGTCAAAGGGCACCTCTCCTGCGAGGAGATCCTGATGCCGGTGTACACCACCACCAAGGAGGCGGTGCAGAAACACCCCAAGACCTCCGTCTTCGTGAACTTTGCTTCCTTCCGGTCTGTGCATGAGACCACCATGGAGGCAATGAACCACAGCAACTTGAAGAGCCTCGGAAGAATAGGTTGGGCTGATTGGTTGGATGGACGGACAGACGGATGGATGGATGGATGCTTGCTTGCTTGCTTGCTTGACTGCCTGCCTGCCTGCCTGCCCTGCCTGCCCTGCCTGCTTGCTTGGTTGGTTGGTTGCTGGGTTGCTGGGTTGCTTGGTTGCTTGTTGTTGTTGCCTCAGGATGTGAACGCCTGTTTGTTTCAGGCGTTCATAGCCCAACCTGTTGGATTGGTTAGTTGTCTTTTTTTAGCCGGGAACTTTAAACCTTTTTGGCATTTGCAGATTTGGCTCGTGTTGCATGGTTTGGCCCGACTGCTCCGCTGGCATGTTTTGAATACGTTTAAAGTTGCGGATGCACGTTCCTGATTCAATTGCATCCCATGTGGCTCGATGGTTTTGCTGGCCTCTGAATTTACTTGCTGCTTGTTCTGACGTAGGTCCCATGCTTGTCAGTGTGATGTTTTACGCCCGGCGATGAACTCAAGATGTGTATTTTGGATGTTGTGTTTATCCGCTCAGCGCTGATCTTTTGAGAAGCGTTTTCCACTTTGCTGACCACCCCACTTAGTAAGTGGTGAGTGACCGTGACTAGTTAGCCCCTCAAGTGCTTGGTTGTTCGCCGCTTAGCTGGTTTCAAGCATTCAAGTCCTTGTCTGTCTTTTGGTTTGTCGCTTTTACTTCCCCACTCAGAAATTGTTCTACTTGATCCTAATGGCTCAGTTGGGCCATGCTTCTCACAATTGGGGACCCACGTTGCATGGGTTCCTGGGGTTGTCCTTTGCCCTACCCATTTCCAGTGTTCCTTTTGCATTGTCTTTGGGTGTTCCGTTTTGCGTTCGTTTTGGTTTCGTGTTGCACGCCGCTTTCTACGACCCATAGGACAATGGCCATCATCGCGGAGGGTGTGCCGGAGCAGCAGACCCGGGACATCATCAAGGCCCGATGAAAACCCATCGGGTAGACAGGTAGCAGTCCGTTTGCCAGAAACCGGCGTGGCAAGATACGGGTTTGTCTTTTTGTAGGCTTCAAAACCAGAACGAACACCAACATTTTGGGGGTCCACGCAACATTTTGGGGAGTCCCCTACAAAGAGAGACAACACTTATACGAGCATTGATTTTTTTTGCTAAGTATTCGCTTGGTATTCGGGGGGAACTCCTTTTTTGTTGCGTAGGCACTGAGTAGGCAATTCTGGTGGGGGAAACGATTCGCGTAGGCAGTCTGCGTAGACCGTTCAAGAACATTCTGGTAGGCAGGTTCGCGTAGTCGTGATCTACCCTACACAACCTTCTTGATACGGCTGGAGAGTGGCTCTCGATAGAAGCTTGCGTAGGCACTCCGCGTAGGCGCTTGTTGCCGAATAGGCTCGCGTAGGCACCCTTCCGCGGTTTTGCGTACCCACCGGGGGAGGCTCCGCGTAGGCATGGCCGGCAGTGTATTGGGCCGAGACACCCCAACAGAAACCTTATGACAGTTGTAAAAATCAAAGCTATTGGACCACAGAAAAAAAAAAAAAAACAGCAGATTTTGAAACAACCCATGGTGAACATCAAAGATACTAGACTCTTTCCATGGCACGAACTACCGGGAATGTGTCTGTTTTGACTATGAGACCCATCGCCTATCCACAGGTGGCGGAGGGGAAGGGCGTGGGCATCATCGGCCCGGCCACCGTGGGGGGCATCAAGCCTGGGTGCCTGCGCATCGGCAACACCGGGGGCATGCGCCTTGGAATCTCGCGGGTTTGGGGAGCAGAAGATATGCGTTTTTTGGGGACGCCACCAGGAAAACCACATGTTTTGTTTGGTTCACCTCTTTTGACAGACATCCATATGTTTCTTGATCAGCGCGGGGGGTCCTTTGAACTGGACCCCACAAATGCTCGGTTGATCTTGGCCTTGAAAAGGGTGAGGAACCCCAGTCTTGGCGCTCTCATTGTTTCTTCATCAGCTGTTCGTTGTTTTCGAAGGTCGGGCTAGCAGCCAGATCCCATCCTCTAGGCGGTAACCGGAGATGTCCCATTTTGCCTTGCATGTATGTGCGGGATACATGCATCATTGAGATCTGACAGTATATGAACCTATGTCTATCTATATCTATCTACAGTTATTTATATCTATCTATATCTACATCTATCCATATATGCATCTATCTATATCTATATCTAGCTTTCTCTCTCTCTCTCTCTCTATCTCTATCAGTCTATCTACCTAGCTATCTATCTATCTATCTGTCTGTCTGTGTGTCTGTGTGTCTGTGTGTCTGTGTGTCTGTGTCTGTCTGTCTATCTATCTCCCTATCCCTGTATCTATCAATCTAATCTAAATCTCAGCTAATCTAATCTATTTTAATCACATCCAATCTATCTATCGAATCCAACTCTAATCTAAATCTAAGCGTATCTACTCTATTCGAATCAAACCTAATCTATCTATCTAATCTAAATCGAATCCAAATCTAAGCGTATCTACTCTATTCAAATTAAGTCTAAGCCATCTATCGAATCTAAATCTAATCTAAATCTAAGCGTATCTACTCTATTCAAATTGAATCTAATCTATCTATCGAATCAAATCAAATCTAAATCTAAGCGTATCTACTTTATTCGAATAAAATCTAATCTATCTACATATATATATATATATATACACGCACATATTTGAACTTTTGTCTGTATAGCCCTGCTCAAGGCCACCTTTGTTTAATTCTCCTTAGCTTGGCTCTGTCCGATGTCCGTCCTCTTCGCAAGCGGTTCCCGTCCCGGCTACTTCGTTCACACCTGCGGAACCCTGGTTTGACATCTACTTTTAGGGAGCGAGAAAGCGCTTCCTTCACTAAAACACTGGTGCGACATTTTCTTTTTGTAGGCGGAGAAGCTTTGAGGCTGGGGGGTTGACCACTTTAGTCTACGGACCAGAGTTTTAGCAAGCGGAACCACGTTCTCTTTCCTAAAAATACTTGTGATGCTGGGGGTGTCGACCACTTTAGTGAACAAAGACCGTCGAAAGCGGACCGAGTATGCTGGGCGCGAAGAGTGCATTTTCGTGATAGGTTTTGTACAGAACTTTGATGCCGAATGACTTTATTTACACCCATGAACAGGGGCTTCGGGGACATTGTGTGCAGCGAAACATCAGGATATTTTTTGGCGTTGGTCTGCCAGTTCGCCAGCTCCAGGTTGGACAACATCGTGATGTCCCGGCTCTACCGGCCCGGCTCCGTGGCCTACGTGTCCAAGTCCGGGGGCATGTCCAACGAGCTGAACAACATTGTGGCCCGTAACTCCAATGGAGTGCCTCGGAGCTTGCTGTAGTCCGTATTCCCGGGTGATTTGGCGTGTGAGCCACCTCATCATATTTGTGTTTTCTTTTGGGGGGGGGTTGACGATTTGATTCGTGTCTTCAAGGCTCCTCATGTTTGGCCGATGATCATGAAGATTCATGCAGAGTTTGGGACGTTCCTGGTTTTGCCCTCGTTGTCCATAATGAATCCATTTGGGTGACCTCACACTTGGATGGATCGAATGCTTTGACTGACCCACGATGAAGGTGCCCTGGCCTTGTTGCAGCTTTGCATGGTGCGGCTGTGCTTTTGGTTCCCTTCAACTTTATTCACTATCGGTGATTTTGGAAGGAATGCTGTGATGTTTGAACATGGGGGCACACATGCAGCCGGACACAGCCGGACGAGATAGAGGCCCAGCTTATCTGCAAACAGCAGTGGTGCGGTTGAAACCCTAAACGGGACAGGATCTCTCCTTCATCCCGTCCTGCTACGCATCCCTTGATCAGCAATTGATAGTCTCGAGATCAGGCTGATTTGGTCCATGTAATCATTGGGTCTATTCGAATGCATGGCCAGGCATATTTTCTCAGTCTGTTGTGCTTGGTCCACCTTTGTCCCGCGGGGCTTCAGGCGGGTGTTGTCTCTACAGCGTTTTGAGCCGCAGCCACTGTGCTCGTATTCCATGCATTCTTTGCTCCCACCCCAAAAACAACCAAAGACACCAACACATGGGAAGAAAATCAGTCAGCTTCCCTCTCGTTGGTGATGTGGATTGGTGGTTTGGCGGTTGGGCGGGTGGTTTCCCATTTCCCCTCTAGAAGAGCAAGGGCTTCAAATCCATAAAAAAAAATCCAAGCCAGCAATCCAAACCAACCTTTTTGGGGTGACCGGATTCAGTGCACCGCGAATCTCCTGGAGGTGTACGAGGGTGTGGCCATCGGTGGGGACCGATATCCTGGGAGCCGGTTCCTGGACCACTTCCTGCGGTACCAGGACGACCCCAAGGCCAAGATGCTGCTGCTCCTGGGCGAGGCGACGCAGATTTTGATGGGTGTGTGTGTAGATGTGTGTGTGTGTGTGTAGATGTGTGTGTAGATGTGTGTGTAGATGTGTGTAGATGTGTGTAGATGTGTGTTTTGATGTGCGTGTAGATGTGTGTGTAGATGTGTGTGTGTGTGTGTGTGGGGTGGTGTGTAGATGTGTGTAGATGTGTGTAGATGTGTGTGTAGATGTGTGTAGATGTGTGTGTAGATGTGTGTGTAGATGTGTGTGTGTGGGGTGGTGTGTAGATGTGTGTAGATGTGTGTAGATGTGTGTAGATGTGTGTAGATGTGTGTGTAGATGTGTGTGTAGATGTGTGCGTGTGTGTGTGTGTGTGTGTGTTTGTTGGTGTGTAGATGTGTGTAGATGTGTGTAGATGTGTGTGTAGATGTGTGCGTAGATGTGTGTGTAGGTGTGTGTGTGTGTGTGTGTGTGTTTGGTGGTGTGTAGATGTGTGGGTGTGGATGTGTGTAGATGAGTGTAGATGTGTGTAGATGTGTGTGTAGATGTGTGCGTAGATGTGGTGTAGATGGTGTGTGTGTAGATGTGTGTGTGTGTGTAGTGTGTGTGGGGTGGTGTGATGTGTGATGTGTGTATGATGTGTGTAGTGTGTAGATGTGTGTGTAGATGTGTGTGTGTGAGTGGTGTGTAGATGTGTAGATGTGTGTAGATGTGAGATGTGTGTGTAGATAGATGTTGTGGTAGATGTGGTGTAGATGTGAGATGTGTGTGAATGTGTGTAGATGTGTGTAATGTGTGTGTAATGGTGTGTAGAATGAGTGTTGTGGGTTGGTGAGTAGATTGTGTGTACGAATGTTTTGGATGTTTGTGAGATGTGTGAGTGATAGAGTGTGTGTAGTAGAAGTGAGTGAGTGGGGTTTGTGGTGTAGGATGTGTGTAGGAAGTGTGTAGATGTGTGTAGAATGTGTGTGTAGATGTGTGTGTGTAGATGTGTGTGTATATGAGTGTAGTATGTGAGTTGGGTGGTGTGTAGATGTGTGTAGATAGTGTGTGTAGGATGTTGTGCAGTATGTTGTGTGTGGGGGTGGAGTTAGATTTGGTGTAGATGTGTGTAGATGTGTGTGTAGATTGTGGTGTGTAGATGTGTGTGTGTGTGGGGTGAGTGTAGATGTGTTAGATGTGAGAAGATGTGTGTAGGATGTGTGGTGTAGAGTGTTTGTAGATTCTGTGATACAAGGGTTGTATATGGGGGGTTAGTTTAGGGGTTTAAGGATGAGTGTAGATTTGTGTGTAGATGTGTTTTATGTAGATGTGTGTGTGTAGATGTTGTGACTCGGGGGTGGAGTAGATGTGAACATCAGCGGGAGAAAAAAAAAAAAAATTGTGTGTAGATGTGTGTAGATGTGTGTGTAGATGTGTGTGTGTAGATGTGTGTGTAGATGTGTGTAGATGTGTGTGGGGTGGTGTGTAGATGTGTGTGTAGATGTGTGTGTAGATGTGTGTGCAGATGTGTGTGTGTGGGGTGGTGTGTAGATGTGTGTAGATGTGTGTAGATGTGTGTGTAGATGTGTGTGTAGATGTGTGTGTGTGTGGGGTGGTGTGTAGATGTGTGTAGATGTGTGTAGATGTGCGTGTAGATGTGTGTGTGTGTGTGGGGTGGTGTGTAGATGTGTGTAGATGTGTGTAGATGTGTGTGTAGATGTGTGTGTGTAGATGTGTGTAGATGTGTGTAGATGTGTGTAGATGTGTGTGTAGATGTGTGTGTAGATGTGTGTGTGTGTGTGTAGTGGTGTGTGGTGTGTAGATGTGTGTAGATGTGTGTAGATGTGTGTGTAGATGTGTGTGTAGATGTGTGTGTAGATGTGTGTAGATGTGTGTGTGTGTGGGGTGGTGTGTAGTTGTGTGTGTGTGTGTTTGGATGGTGTGTAGATGTGTGTAGATGTGTGTAGATGTGTGTGTAGATGTGTGTGTGTAGATGTGTGTGATAGATGTGTGTGTAGATGTGTGTAGATGTGTGTAGATGTGTGTGTAGATGTGTGTAGATGTGTGTAGATGTGTGTAGATGTGTGTGTAGATGTGTGTGTGTGGGGTGGTGTGTAGATGTGTGTAGATGTGTGTAGATGTGTGTGTAGATGTGTGTGTGTGTAGATGTGTGTGTAGATGTGTGTAGATGTGTGTGTAGATGTGTGTGTGTAGATGTGTGTGTGTGTGGGGTGGTGTGTAGATGTGTGTAGATGTGTGTAGATGTGTGTAGATGTGTGTGTCCATGAGTGTAGAATGTGTGTAGACGATGTGAGTTTAGCAATTAGTGTGAAGGTGGCGTGGTGTGTTCGCAGAGTTAATTTGAGTAGCTTTAGGGTAGATGTGTATCGAATGTGAGATGAAGATGTTTGTAGATGTGTAGTGTATAGTCTGTGATGTGTAGTGTGATGTGTGTTTATGGTGGGTGTAGTCGAAGTGGTGAAGAAGTGTTAATAATAGTGGTGTGTAGAAGTGTGTGTAGATGTGTGTGTAGATGTGTGTGTAAGATGTGTGTGTGAGAGGTTGGTGTGTAGAAGTGTGTAGATGTGTGTATGATGATGTGTAGATGTGTAGGTGAAGATGTGTGTCGAGGAGAGAGTAGAGAGTGTGTGTGAGTTGTGTGAGTAGAGGGTGGTTGTGTAAAAGTATAGTGTAGATGAGTGTGAAGACTTGAGTGTATTATGCATGTGCGTGGGACAGAATGAGTTGTCGAATGATGTGTGTGTGTGTGGGTGTTGTGTAGAATGTGTGATGATAGTTTGAAAGTGTTGTCGGATGGTTGAAATGATGGTGTAGATGTGTGTGACAGAAGTGTGAGGTGGGGTGTGTGTAGAAGTGGTAGAGTGTGTATATGTATGTGTAGCATTGTGGAAGTATGAAGTGTGTAGCATGTGTGTGAAGATGTGTGCGTGTGTGTGTGGTGTTTTGATGTGAGTGTAGATGTGCGTAGATGAGTGTGAAGTATTTGGGTTTTGGGGGTGTAGAAATGGTGCGGTAGAAGTGTGTGTAGGAGTGTGTGAGTGTTGTTAGGAGGCTGAACTCAAAGCTGAGTGTAAGAAGGACACTTCCTAGAACTCCTGTAGTGAAGATGATGTGTGTATAGGAAGTATGTAGATTGTGTCGAAGATGTGTTTTGTAGATGTGGTGAAAGATGGTGTAGTTGGGTGGGGTGTGTGTTGAAGATTTGATGAAGAAGTGTGTTGTAGCTGAGTGTACGAATGAGTGTGTAGATGTTTGTGTAGATGTGTGTGTCGATGTGTGGTGTGTGGGGTTTTGTATAGATTGTGAGTAGAATGTGTTGTAGATGAGGTGTATATGTGTGATTTAAGATAGTTGAGATCGATGTATTAGTGTGTAGATATGTGTGTAGAAGTGTTTCAGATTATGTGACGCTGAGTGAAGCAGAGGTGACCTGTGATGTGTAGATTATGATGGAGAGTGAATGTGTGATGTCGATATGTTATGAGATGGGTAGGATGAGACCTGAGAGAAGAGCTGTGTAGTAGCAGAGTTGACGCAGTGTGAGGTTGTATAAGAGTGTGAGAGGTAGGTGTGTAGATGTGTAGAAGATGTGAGTAGACTGAGAGTAGCATAGAGATTAGTAGATGTGGTAGATATATGTGTGAGACGCAGTAGAGACGCAAGATGATGTAGACAGTATGTAGCTGAGGAGACGCAGAGTGAGTCGCAGTATGGAGTCGAAGTTTTTGAGTGGGGAGGGGGTAGGTGCTACTCAGTGTGACTTTGTTAGACCGATGTGATGAGTCGAAGTGATGAAGCAAGTGTGAGTTAGAGTGAGGGATGATGAAACCGCATGTGACGCTGATAGAAGCAGAGAGGCGCAGTAGATATGATACGCTGTAGTGAGAAGACTGAGAGATACTCAGAAGACAAGATATACTCAGATATTCGCATATATCCGAAGAGTGACGCAGATATATACCGGCATAGATAGTACGCCATGAGATAGCGTGTAATTGGAGGTGAATCTGAGATGACGCAGTTTGTATCCCTATGAGATGATCGCGTGTGACGATTAGATAGACTCAGTAGTGTTTGAGGGGAGAGTGAACGCATGAGAGACGGCAAGATACGCAGTGAGAGTACGCAGAGAGTGAGTGTGTATCAGTGTGAGTCGCAGTTAGAGGCATGAGTGTAGGGGATGTGTGTAGCAAGTAGTCCTTAGAGTGTCACTGAGTATTGAGATTGGATGGTGAGATACCTGAGATTCGCAAATAGACTCAGTGAGAATCTAGTGTTATAGAGAACCATATAGGAGATACGCATTAGATAGAGAGAGGAGGATAGTCCAGTGAGACGCAGTGTGGAGAGTCGATGGTGTGACCGCAGATGAGATAGACCGCTTGAGAGTGAATGTGGAGGAGGTCATAAACCGGAGAAAATATAGGTAACCCAACAACCCCACCCGCAATAGACGCCAGATAGGTACTCTAGATAGTTGACCCAGAGAGAGAGCGCAAGAGTGAGAGGGGAGGAAGAGTACGAAGATATGACGAGGTGATGTGACGCAGATATAAAAGCAGAGCGAGGTCGCTAAGTAAGTAGCATGAGAGAGACGCTGTAGAGTTACTCTGTTAGATTACGTCGCGGAGAGAAGTGGGGAGGTTGTGCCTCGGTCAATGCCATGATTAGTCGCAAAGAGACGCAGATAGTGAGACCAGAGAGAACGCAGAGATACGCATAGATAGGACTCAAGAATAATCAGTGAAGATGTACGCATGATATGATACGCATGAGAGAGACGAATAGTGATTGTGACTCTTAGAGATATAGTCTCAGTGGGAGTGAGAGAGTCATGACCAGATACTGACTGAGACATGTGACAGAGATAATGTGATCATTTGTCTAGAGAAATGTAGTCATTAGACAGTAGAGTCCTGAGACAGAGACAGTGAGGAGACGCATAAGACGATGAGAGTCGCAGATAGTTAGTGTACGCTGTAGATGAGATGAGAGTCCAGAGAGAGAATGACAGAGACTAGATGAACTGTGAAAAGACTAAAACAAACAACAGAACCCCACTAATCGGCAATCAGCACTCACACATCACACCCACCACTCAGTGACGGCGCACACACTCCGCACACACTCGAAGTTGGCGCTGAGGAATTCGACCAACTGGTGGGCCGAAGTCAACAAGTTTCCGTTTAAGTATCCCTGCAAGAAAGGAGACTCCCTCCCCCCCCCCCACCCCCTATTTAGGCGATATTTATATTTTGTGAGCCATGTATCCCTTCTGCCAGATAGTTTTGTGTGTGTGCGAGAAATGTCATGACCGACAGCATCCCCAGTCATGGCATGAGGTGATGCTATGGGGATGATTTTTTTTTGGTTGGTGGCTTTTTGACTTCGGTGGGTTTTTGTGGCTTTGGCTTTCCACATCCCCAGCATCGCCAGAAGCACGCTCGAGGTTTGCAGCATTTGTGGCTTTTGTGGCTTTTGCTTTCAACATCCTCAGCGCCACCAGCAACACCCTGTACGGCTTTCTGCATTTTTTTTCGCGGCTTTTGGTTGCTTTTGACTTTGGCTTTCGACACCCTGAGCATCACCAGCAACATGCCAGGGTAATTAGTTCGTGTTTGTCATCGCGCAGTTTCTCCATTGGCGCCCTTATTTGTATTCTTTCGGGGGCGGCTGCGCTCCACCCCTGAACCTACCCCTTCAACCCACCCCAAACCAACGCTCAAACCAGCAGGTGATGCTGAAGGTGCTGAAAATACCGGGGATGTTGAAACAGTGCTGGGGATGGAGCAGGTGCAAAACGAGTGCATTTGGTTAGAACGTGCTGCAAAATGCAGCATTCTAGCACCTGGACTGAACAACAACAAACACCTGGAAGACAACAAACATACGAAGTAAATCTCGACCCAGCATCAATTCGGCGGGGCTGCTAATTTCACAAGACATACCGATTGGAGATTACTCCATGGAATCGGCGTGTTGCAATTCATTGGGGGTTATGACATCCAACAATTCTCCTAATGTGATAAGCAAGCCTTGCTCGGAGCCAACCGCACAATTCCCTGATAATGTTGACCTATGATTGATAGCGCTCTAGATATTTGTGATTGAGGCGGGCTTTCCCCTCGAAGGAAATAACCGCACTCAAAAAGAACCCCCTGATTAACAACAGAAGGTGTATTAATCAGGGGTCAACATGACGAGAAAACGAGCGGGATATGTTTTAAGTTTTAAGGTTGGGTTGCTTTCATATGCAACCGCAGGGAAACCACCAAGAACGGGTTCCCTGATTTGAAGACAATCCCTGCCGGACCCATCCCCAATATGAACACCTTGGTAGATGAAGGTCAGGGGGCGGTCCAAAGGAATGCCGATCCGACTCCATGGGTCCTAGACTTCAAATACGATTTGTTTGTCCGATGAACATGTGAAGGGGCCCATGTCAAGGATGGTGCAGCCCGCAAATTTTTCTACTCGGGTCTATTCAGGACCATGAACTGTCATGGCCCTTTATCTGATGGGGTGGATCCGGGCTTGGAAAACCGGCCAGACGTGTTCGGCTTTTCATTCCGGCTTGGACACCCATTGCCATATTTTCGGCCTGGGTTTTGGGACCCCAACCAGGCAGTAGGTTTTGTCTCAAACCCGTTTTGCAGGTGGGGGGCGTGGACGAGTACGACCTCATCGAGGCCAAGAAGAAGGGCCGCATCACCAAGCCGGTGGTGGCCTGGTGTGTGGGGACCTGCGCTTCCTGCTTCACCACGGAGGCTGGAACCCGGAGAACAGATGCCCACAATCACCTCGAAAACTGGGGATGGGTGGTTTTCTAAACCCCAAAGCAGCCTTTTGGGGTGGGCCCCACCAGTGGGGACTCCCAAAATCACTCAAAACACGGTTTTTCCTTGTCCCTACCAAAAACAACCACAAACAAACTGCTCCCCTGCAACGCAAAAACGGCGCCCCGCAGAAGGAGATTCGTGCAAAAGTGGTGTCGCCCTTTTGGGCTCCGTGTTCTGCAGGAGCGGTGGTATCGGCAAACAGTTGCCTCGAAAGGGCGATTCCATGGAAGGCCACTGTAAAGGGTCCCGGGTGCTTCATGTTAGCTGGGAATGCTGGTTGGCTTGAATTGCTTGGTTGGCTTGGTTGGTTTGGCTTGGTTTGGTTGGTTGGGTTTCCAGTGACTGGTCGGTCAGTCGGTGGGTCGGTTGTTGGTGTGTTAGTTGGTTGGTAAGTGGGATACTTGATCAGCTAGGACTACTAAATTGGCTGGCTTATTATTTGGGTGTGTCTTTTCTTAGGGGACCCCCCCCAATGGTGGTTGTTCCCTTTGTTTTTTCTTCAGACCTCCCCAAAAAAGGGGGTGCCAACTCCAAAAAAGAGACCCCACCCCCAATTTGATCACGCTTCACCAAGGTGCAGTTCGGACATGCAGGCGCGCAGGCGCGAGGCGACATGGAGACGGCGGCGGCCAAGAATAAGGCAATGAAGGAGCTAAGGGCTAAGGGGGTGAGTCAGAGCTTCCTCCATTTTCCCTTTTGGAGCCTCCAAAAGGGGCAGTTTCAATGGAAACCACCAGTTGTTTGCGACTTTTGAAGGGACATCCTCAGTGGTTTGTGAGTGTGTCGAACAACCTTTCAACAGTGGCTTCCTCTTGCGGGTCCCAACACGGGGTAGCAACAGGACCACCCTGGCATGGCAGGGCTCAGAGAAAACAGCAGAGTAATCGTACATGTCAAAGCCGGGCTGCAAGTTTGTGCCTTGCTGACGGACGAAAATCATGTCGCAGCACTCTGAAACCATGGTTGAAACCAGTGTTTGTTGGTATTTACCGGGAATCATCCTAGACCAGAGTTTTCTGAACGGTGATGCCCAAGTTTTCGCAGCCCACGCGGCGTAGCGTCCTTGAGAAAATGCCAGGAGGCGGGCTTCCACGTGCCTGAGTCCTTCGACAAGCTGCCGGAGATGATCAACCAGGTGGGATAGACCCATTCGGCGCCAACATGTGGCAACCTCATGCAGTGGGAGCGAGCCAAACATGAATTATATCGATATGCACCAATCGCTTTCGTGTTGGTGAGTTAAACAGGGGATGTCGTCAAATTAGGACCTGCCCCTTTGGGATGGTGCACTTGGTTGCCACATTTCTGAGACCAGGGGGCCGCCCTGGCGCAGGTGTACACGCAACTGGTCGAGGAGGGGGAGATTGTAGAGACCCCGGAGGGCGAGACCCCGCAGGCCGCGAGCTGCCGCAGACCTGGGGAGGGGGGGGGGAGTGGGGTGGATGCAGCAGAGTGGCCAAGCAGGAGGTTATGGACAGTCTTTGTGGATGTATATATTTTTACATGTATCACATGTACTTGCACCAACTATCACACTTGAATCGCTTTGATTTTTACGATGTTCCCTGTTTTACTCATGCCCTTGTTTAATCAATCGGAACCCGCGTGTTGGCACCCTTGTTAGTAGTGCGGGTATCACAATAAAGCAAATTCTGCCTCAGACCTCAGCCCAAAGCAATGATTGGCTTCAACCCTCCATAGCTATCGCTGTTGGGAAGCAGAGGAAGAAGGAGGAAGACGAAGAAAGAAGAAGCAGGAAGAAAAAGAAGAAGGAAGAAGAAAACAGAAAGAAGAAGAAGAAGCAGAAGAAGCAGCAGCAGCAGCAGCAGCAGCAGCAGCAGCAGCAGCAGCAGCAGCAGCAGCAGCAGCAGCAGCAAGGATTTCAACACGAGCGTCAGCAAAGTATGGAGTTTTCTGCAGGTGCCCATGGACTACACCTGGGCCAAGAAGCTGGGCATGATCCGGAAGCCAGCCAACTTCATCTCCTCCATCTCCGACGACCGGGGGGAGGAGCTCACCTACTGCGCCCTGGTTGGATAGGCAGGGAATGAGTCATGGAATGACCCGATCCAGAAAAACCATCCCCGACTTTGGTGTCCTTTACGGGAATCCCATCGGTTCATTAAACCCGGAATGGTCATTCCCTGCTGAGCACCAGCAAGTTCAAATAAAACGTCTCCCCGTATTTTCCTCTTTTTTTTCTGCTTGTGCTTGAGGCCTTGTATTTCCCACTTGTTAGGAGGGTTTAGGCAATTCAAGTGAGTTTCCTTTTGGTGCAAAGTGGGTTAGCCACCTTTTTGGCGTGGGTTTTCGCCCGGCTCTTCGACTGATTAGCCACGTTGCACAAACATCAACGGGCCCCCAAGGTAAAGGCTCAACCCCGCTCCACCAACTTTTTACGTGTTTTTTCTTGCCAAAGAGGTGGATGCCTTACGTGCCAAGCTGTTCAGAGATAGATGTGCAGTTGCCAAATATGCGTGGCACTTTGGAAGCACACTAGTGTCTGTGTTGTGCCGCGTTGTTCTGAGGACCTCCCCCCCCAAAACAAAACGAATACGAGGCAGCATTTTGGCAAAACCAGCAGCGGTGTAAGGCAGCATGTCCATCTCCGATGTCTTCAACAAAGACATCGGCATCGGTGGCGTGCTGTCCCTGCTCTGGTTCCGGCGCCAGCTTCCCGATTACTGCACCAAGTTCATCGAGATGATTCTTATGGTGGCCCAGCGGAAAATCAAGGACTGTCGACATGTTTCCCTGAAAGAGTACCCCTGATGCCAAACTATAGAACGATTGCCATGTATGGTTGGTATCAGCAGGGGATGATCAGCACTTGAAAGAGAGCTGCTCGACCTTTTCTTTCGCTCTGGGTCTAAGAAACCAAGAAGATAGATTCAGCACAGCCGGTGCTTCTGGCAGGCTGGTAATTGATTTGCAATAGGTTTCGTTGAGCAACACATTCTGCAATATTTCTTCCAGCCAGTTAAAGACACGAGCTTGCAAGCTCCCTCATGTTTCCGCATGAATGAACTATTAGTCAGCCGCATTGTCTCAGCTCCCTCGTTCGTAAATTAGTGGCTTGGGAGGTTTGGGACCTTCCCATGTCGATTCAATGAGGACCGTTTCCACCAATTCGAGCCAGCTGGGCTCTTCAAAAAGACAAGGCCCCAACAAGGTTTCCTTTTTCGACATGGGCGTGTCTTTTTGAGTGTACCCCCCAAAATGGCTTTGGTTTTCCTTTTGGCTCCCCTTTGAAATCAAAAAATAACTGGTACCCTCAAATTACACCAGCATAGATCCTGATAGCATGGGAGGTTTGACCGTAGCGGCTTCTTTTCTGCAGCGAATGAGCTCAGTCAGTCAGGAAGCGTGATGATTACATAGCCACGAACCATTCTGCGCTAAATGTAAGCACAAACAGCACCGTAATGAATTCAGCAGAGTCATGATGAGTTTGGCACCACGAGCCAATATGCGCTACGTTACATATGAGCACAAACTGCTTCCTAGAATGAATTTTGCAGCTGCATGCTGATTTTTGCCGCATCATGACAATACCACAGCCACTAACCAGTATGCGCTATATATAAGCACAGCACCGCCAGCAATCACCACAGCACCTTGAGCACACCAACAGCCACCCAACATGGTACCCTGATCAGGATCGTCAAGCAAGCAGCACCCTGAGCACACCAAACAGCACTCTGGTGGCCAGCAGCACCCACAAGAACACCCACAGCCAGACCAACACCAGCAACACCAGCAGCACACGGACTGCACCGCAAAACAAGCACCGCGAGCAACTGCCCCGCGCCTTGAGCACACCAAGTAGCACCTTGACCAGCGCAGGCGTCGCCAAACAAGCACCACCGCCAGCAACTGCCGCGGCATGCACCTGACCAGCACGCTGACTGCTGCGCCAAGCACCGCCAGCAACCACCAACCCAGCAGTTTATGCACATAAACGGTACCCCGACCAGCGCACACCTGGCCCGATTTCGGCTTGTCTTTCTTCAGGGTACCCCGCAAGATGGCTTTGGTCATCCTTTTGGTTTCCCTGTGAACCCACAAACAAACAACGCGTACCCTCAAAACACCCGCACCCACATAGGTCGACCATCCTTTAGGTGACTGCGGACCATGGCCCGGCGGTGAGCGGCGCCCACAACGCCATTGTCACTGCTCGCGCAGGCCTGGGATGTGTCGCTGTTGGTCAGGAGTGTTAGTTGGTTACTTAGGTAGTGAACTAGCTAGCTAGATGGTCAGTCAATTAAATTGTTAGTGAGTCAGTTAGTTAGTTTGTTGGTTAGTTTGTTGGTTGGTTTGTTCAAATGTTTGTTCCATACCTAAGGTGCCTTTTCCTTGGCCTCAGCTCACTGACCTTTGCCCAGAAGCATTCCTGCTGGTTCGTTCCCCCTTTTTTTGGGTTCAGGATCGCGCACAATGACACAAAAAGGCACCTATTTCCCTCATGAATGGTACATGTCCAAGATAGAAGCTGCTTGCTGGTCCCTTTGGCTGTTCCTTTCATAGGGCCTTTTTCACGGTTCTCTGCAGGGGGGCTCCGTTGTTCAGAGAAACACCAGACGCAGCCCTTCTTCATGGTTCCCTGAAAGGGGAAGATACAACTACCACAGACACAAGCAGACACCAAAAAACCACAGGCCCTTGTTTCAGACACAAGCACCTAGGGGAAGCTGCTTGCTGGTTTTCTTGGGTGTTTCTCTTCAAAGGGCCTTTCACACACACACACACAGAAACCCACAGCAGCAGGGAAGGACCTGGTGTCCTCCTTGTGCAGCGGGCTGCTGACCATCGGCCCCCGCTTCGGCGGAGCCCTGGACGACGCCGCCCAGATGTTCGCGGACGCCCAGGGCAGCGGCGTGGCGCCCAAGGAGCGACCTGGGCCAAAGGTGGCCATGGGTCAAAATACGAAGCCCGTACCCCCAGTGAACATCCGATTCAATGGTGGTGCGCCTACCCCAAAATGGTACCGTTGGTTTTGACCCACAGTCAGGTGAGTCACGTCCTCAAAACCCGTTGGCGGATGCAGCGTAGGGAGACTCCCAACCAAGAAGGGCGCCTTCGCCCTGCCTTTCTCATTCTTTACATGGTTCTGGGTAGACCATTTTACTATCGATCGGTTTTGATTGCTACTCAGGTTTTTTTTTCGGCACATGGAGCCCTCCTCATGGAGCTTGACGACTGCGGCGGCCCTTCGTGTACGACTTTACCTTTAAAAGGGAGCCTTTGTTAGTGGACATGAGGGTATGTTACATGGAGCCCTCCTCATGGAGCTTGACGACTGCGGCGGCCCTTCGTGTACGACTTTACCTTTAAAAGGGAGCCTTTGTTAGTGGACATGAGGGTATGTTACTTTTTGGGACCCCAAGAGCATAGAAAACGGGGATATGTCCACCAATTTGCGGGCCATTGAAGTTCATACAGGCTTGGTCAAGATCTCTTGTCAATTTGGGAGGGACATCAATTGCCTCCAAAAGTCACGGGGACCCTTTCTTTAGGGCAACCGCCGCTTGACCGGGGCTCACATCGTGAAAGCCATGCTGAACGCCGGGAACCTTGACCCCCCGCGTAAGGGAAACCAGACAAGGTTCCAATCTACTTGGACTTCCTTTGGATGGGAAGTGGTTGGATGGCGACCCAGGATTCATTCTCCACTGTCATGCACATGGAAACCTGATCGCCATAGACCGACCTCAGTGCAAACATCCTTGTTATTATTGTTGCTGTATCATGTGATATGGGGGGGGGGGGGTGTCATTTTGTGTATCTCTCTTGTTTTCTTTTTTCTTCATCATGCTTTCATCATTTCGCACGGATTTAAGATTGGTCCATCGCTATTCGGCACAATCAGTCTTTTTTCATCATTTGGGTTGGTTTTTCTAGCTTCTTACCCTCCTACACGGAAACATGGAACCCACCGTAAGATTCCTTTGGAAGGAAAAGAAGCATGGTCTTCCAGCTTCCAGTCAGGTTCCATATCAGTAGGTAGCGTCATTACGTTTTTTTGTTTGTTTGGCGGGGGTTGGGGGGGGGGACAAGCAAGCATTGAAGGAGTGGATCGACAAGATGAAGAAGAGCAACCAGCTGATCATGGGCATCGGCCACAGGACTGGGGGTTACACACGGAGAGCTTTGCTGTGCTTTGATGAGGCGATGAGCAAGTCAGCCAAACATGATGGGATGGGCCTCATCTGAAACGACCAAGGCTCGCCTTGTAATGGCATTGGATGTGTCTAAGCATACAGGACATTTTGGGGCCTGGTGTTGCCAATTTTGATTCAGACATACGTGTCTACATACATTTTGTATATTAGTATATATATATATATATACACAGAACTATATGTGTATATGTAAGCACCTAGCTACCCATGTATATGGGGATGTCAGTCCTTACATTTGTGTTGAACCCCGTGCGTCTTGTGTTTCCGCCTGTGTCAAAAGCCGGACCCTCAACAGCCAAGGGGTTCTCAGGATCAAGTCCCTGGCCAACCCGGACCAGCGGGTCGAGATCATCAAGGGCTTCGCCAAGAAGAACTTCAAGGCCAGCGCGGGCCACGCCCCCCTTTTTCGAGTTTTGAGCGGGAAGGAAGAAAAGGAAGCCTCTTTCGTTGAGGGGTTCCGTTTTTTTCCAACCTCAGGGTGGTTTTAAGCATCACCTTTTGGGTGGAGTGATGTTTCAAGGCGAATATAGGGAACCCTGTGTTTATTTTAGCAAATGACTGGTCACCAGATTTGCGATTTGGAAGCATCAAGAAGGCGGTTGAGAGCTTCAGAGGAGAACCCGGAAGTACACCCCTTGTGTAAGCCTGGGTCCTTTTATGAATCAGCAAAGGCAGCACCCCACACACACACACACACACACACACATTTTGCCCCCCTGGTATCATTTAGGTGTTTCGTTTTGACAACATACAACCACAAGCAGCACGTGCTTTTAGGGATCCTTTCCGGAAAACCACCAGAAGCCAACGAAAACTTCGTATTTTTTGAAAACACGGACGGTTTTCGGCTTCTGGCGTTTTTGTCTTCAGATTTTTTGGGAAAGGGACAACAACCCTAGTTTTTGTATTTAGTATTTGTCTTCAGTTTTTGTCTCAACCCTAGCAGTGCCCGGCCCACCCGGCGTCTTTTTCTTTTTCTTTTTCTTTTTTGAGGCGACCCCGGTGCTGGACTACGCGCTGGCAGTGGAGCAGATCACGACCAAGAAGAGGGCCAACCTGATTTTGCCCCTCAGCTTGAGAGGAGTTTTTTTGAGGTCCTGGTGGGAGGTAACCCTGGGTATTGATGTTTGTGAATATGTTTTTTGTTTGTTTTGAATTAAATGTTAGAGACTTTTGTGGGGGAGTTTGTGATTGGTGGAGGTCCTCGTCACCTAAGGGCAACCAGAATATCAGGCAACACTTTTGGATTGGTGGTCTGGGATTCTGCTCCCTGAGGGTAAATGGGGTTTGCCCCTCAACCACCAAACCACCAATCCAAACCACCGATTGGAGGGAAGCTGACATAAAGGAGGTCTTTATTGATGATTGAGCAGGGGGTTGGCCCAGCCCTGTCAACTCAAAGCGGAAAGGGATCCCCACCTCACTACTTGCAGCATGGGCGTGGATTTGGGGAATTCGGACACCATCTTTTCCCATGCTGAAGGCAGCCACAACCAGAGTAACCAGAGTAGCGAGTGATGTTTGTGGGCAAGGCGCCAACTGAGAAAGAGAAATTCGGTTCCCTGATCATATCTCCCGCAGGCTCGGACCCAATGCTGGCCGTACTTGGCAACGAATTGGTGGGGTTCCGAGCTCTATTTGACAAGCCAATTTCCTTGTGACATTATTGCTTCGAAGCATCCAAAGAGGGCTACCATTTTGGCAACCCAATTCTATCGCACCAAAGCCATGCTTTCCCAGTTGACACGTTCAAATGATTTGGGGTGGTACTTTGGCTCCTTCCCCCTTCTGGTACTCTGGCTTTTCCCACCGAATCTACACCGAACCTGCACCCTTTTTTTCCGGCCGGTTGTTGTACTCTGGCTTCTCAAACCGAATCGGCACCAGTCCGGCCTTCCGGGCAGGAACGTGGATGGCTGCATTGCGGTGTCCTTTGTGGATATGATCCGATCCTGCGGAGCCTTTAGCCAGGAGGAGTGCGATGACTTGATGTCCTTTGGGTGTCTGAACCTTTCGCGAATCTGGCAGATGCTGGTTTCCCGGCCGTTTCCCTTTTAAGGGAACCTCCAAAAGCGAGCGCTTCAAAGGACTTCAACTTCAACAGTGTATGGGTTCTCTTTTAAGGGAACCTCCAGCAGCGAGCGGTTCAATGGACACCAGTAAATTGATCAACCTGTTTTGCGGGGAAATCCAGTGGCCCCTGATCTCGCAGACTCTTTTTTGCCCCCGTGAACTATGCGACTTTCGGAGCTTGGGATTGTCCCGAAAATCCAAAAAACATGTTTTCCCACAAACATCCCTGAAGGCCGTTTTCCCCCAAAAATTCCCGAAGGTCTTGGGGAGTTTCGCAAGTTTTTTTTTTTGCCTTTTAATACTTTTTTGTTTGTCTCTTGCACCCAGGAACGGTTTGTTCGTGCTGGGGCGATCAGTGGGCTTCATTGGCCACTATCTGGACCAGCTGCGACTGAAGCAGCCGCTGTACCGCCACCCCTGGGATGACATCACCTACATCCAGGAACTGGCTGGCCAGGGTCCTGACAAGTGAGTCAAGTGACTGAAGGTACGAAGGTAGGTCGTGAACATTTCCGGGATTTTTTTCCATTTCCCCGCGGCGCGGGTCGCGCAGTCTCGGAATCTGAATGGTTTTGCCGTGCGCTTGCAATGCTAAGCGTAAGTCTCAAGCTTGCAACAGTTTCGTGGAGGCGTGCCACTAAAATGTGGTCCATGCTTTTGCTTTCTCCGCCCACTTATTTTTTCTCATAGGTATGCACGAGGCAGAGTCTTGGGCTGTCCGAGCGTTAGGGGTGGCAAGATTCGGGATCGGGCCTGGTGACTCAACGGAGGCACCATCTGACCGAGGCACAACTATGAGAGCCAGTTGCCACACTTCGGGGCCCCTATCTTTCGAAGCTTGCACACCCTGGCTCCACTTTTCAGGCCTGCGAAGCATATGCCCAGAAGAAAAGAGGAACGGGCCGCTTTCAGTGGCCGTGCGTGTGGCGCGTGCGTGCCAGTCATGTATTTCCAGCTTTTCGGTCTGAAAATCGTGGCACAAGGAGCCAGGCCCCCTGCAGAGTTCACGAGCCATGAACCATCCCTTGGCCCTACAAGTGAAGCTTTTTCCTCCATGCTCCCTGCCCCGGTGTCCAGGAAGATGTACGGCAGGCTGGCGCGGTGAGCGACATGAAGGCAAAGGGTGGCGCGGCAGACATGTGCCGATGCCAATGAATACTGGTTGGGGTGGGGGTCGCGAGCACTTGCGTGTCAAAATCAGGGATCGCGGTTGGACATCAACAGCAGACCAGCATGTCCTGCCAAAGGCCTAATATTTGTAAACAGGCCAGCAATTGGATGATGGGCTTCAGCGGGGCTTTGAAAGCAGGCCAGAAGGTTTGCCGACAGAGATCCGCCTCTCCATTCGAGAACACAAGTTTTTGTTTGAACCAAGAAGTTGAGCAACAGCGTAGCTTCCATTGAGTGCAGCTCTGCAGGACGATCGGCGCAGACGTATGATGGCGCGCGTGCTGCGGCCGCATCAAGGTCTGCAGCCACGTGCGGAAATGGGGCAGGATACTGTCCAAGGGAGCAACCATGGGCAAAGGAGCCATTTGAACCGCTTGTACTTGTAAAGGCTTCGCGCTTCCCGCCTCAGCCAGGGGCTATTTGATTTAGAGGGGGAAACGGCTAGGGGTAGCCCACAGGGTCAAGCTAGGTGAAGCCCCAGTGAAGCCCGGAGCCACGTAGGGTTTCCAACTGCCATCATCAAACATTTGCTAACGTGTCTAGGCATTTTGAGTCACTTCAAATTGGAAGGGCCATCAGACCCTGCAGACTTGTTTCCATTGAACAAACCATTTGGCTTGTAAGATCGAGCCACATTCGCTCAATCTTTTTGCAACAGCCGTGTGTAGGATGGTTGTTGTTTTGGGAGGACACGTTTAGCGAAAGCAATTTGCAGGGATCTCTTTGTGACTTGAAGGGGTTGCTGGTGCTGGCAGCCTTTTTGTTAGTTCTTAAGCATTCGCTTCGGAACTTGCAAGGACGGTAAGGCGGGGTCGCATGGCCGACTTTTTAGAGGTAGACTTGAATTTGTGACTTGGGGGTTTGAACCCCTGCTGCTTGTTCGAATGATGGCCCTCCAGCACCAACATGTAGTCATTAACACGTGTTCTTCTCCGGTTGGCAACGGTTGCCGAGGACAGCAGACTGAACAGGGAGGCGTACATCAATCCGAAGGAGGCGGCTTTGCTGCAACTCGAAGCTGCGATGGCCTTCAGACGGATTGCAGCTACATAACTTTTGGTGGACAGCTCTTAATTCCCAATCTTGCCATGCGTGCGAAACAAGAGCAAACCACCATTTGGCTGTGGGTCAACAATAGGTACCCAACATGGAACCCTGGTAAGTGGAACCATGGACCAAAATCTGCGGTCCCCTGTTGGTTTAATTTTGACCCACACCCATTTTTTGATGGTCCCCTAAACAGAGACACACCTTGTGCCGTGTGTCCCGGCCATTGGGGCAGTCCATCGCCAACATGAACGACCGGCTCCGTGAGAGGAAGGTGGACTTCCAAGATCTCAAGGCGGGGTAAGCGGGGCATGAGGCGAGGCGGGTGCCAAGGTGATTCAAGCTTTCTTTATCGTGTTTGTTCTTTTCATTTTTTTGTTTATACAAAAAATGCAAATCAGTTTTGAGCCCTTTATTTTGTGTCTTTTAGGATCTGTCTTTAACGCCTCCGGCAAGCCGTGCTGCATGCGGGATGTCGGGACTTTTTCTCGACCTCCGAAAGGCTCTTCGGGCCTTTCGGCCTTGGTGGCTTCCACCAAGCTCTGTCAACGGTCCATCCGTCCATCCGCGCCGTGGGTCCTGTTTGGCTTCCCACGGCCATAGCCGTTGCTGGTTGTTCTCTTGCAACTCGGGGAGCCAGTTTAAACCACGTCGGGCCCTTGCCAGAGTATGGGAAAGTCTTTGGAGCACCATTGCTCCAAAGGTCCCCATTTTGTCGAATTTGCCCGCGTGGCAGACTTGGAACGCATGCCACATGTGGCTACAAGCATGACGTCTTGTGGTCAATTGAGCCACCCCACACATCATCAGTTCCTTTTCCTTTTGGTACCTAGGGATGTCCCTCCTCTTCTTACAGGAGGACACCTCGTCAACACCAGTTCCCCCCTTTTCGACAGCTTTCTGTTGCACTCCAGATGTTCGATGTCCCAAAGAATCCTCGTTCCCAAAAAAGTGGCCTCAGCCCGCTGGCTCCTGAAACTCGCCGCATGGAGTGGCCTCAGCCCGCTGGCTGAAACTCATGCGTTTTGACCGAGGACCAGTTCAAGCGGGAGCTGAAGGTGGAGTTCCCCCAGGCCTCGGAGGAGCGGCTGCAGGCGATGGCCCAGCGGCGGGGACCTCGGAGACGGAAGGGAGGCTGGGAGACCGGAGGTGCTTCTGAGGTGGGGTTGGTGTGGTGGTTTGGTGGTTTGTTGGTGGTTTGGTGGTGGCTTGGTGGTGGCTTGGTGGTGGCTTGGTTGTGGCTTGGTGGTGGTGTGGTGGTTTGGTGGTTTGGTGGTTTGGTGGTGGTTTGGCTCAAGTGGGTTCGCTTTCCAGGGTTGCAACTTGAAGTGGGTCACTGACTTAAGCTACGTGATGGGCTGGGCCTTTGGTCCTTCCGGGTCCCGGCCGGTTGGCGGGCCGCAATGAGCGTCCCAGGCTGTTGAACGAGAAGCTCCTCGCGGATGAGAAGATGGCCCGCTTTCCGGTGCAACATGAGAACTTCCGGCCGAACCTCTCCCTGACCACGCAGGAGAAATCCGCTTAGAAGAAAGATGAGCCAAAACACGGCAGAAGATGTGAGGTCCAAGTCCGGTTCCCGTGGGTGTGGTGGGCTTCATCGAAATTGGGGACCCTCCTGAATGGTTGGTTGTCCTTTAGTTTCCTCCGCCATTTCACAAAGGCTCCTTCTTTTTTTTCCCGCCCTCTCGAAAACCCACTCACTCTGAGGCCCCCCTCTGATCGCAACTCCCAAAAGGCGGAAGGGGGGGTTGGCACCGCCGCCAACCCGCAGGACCGAAGGTACAAGGAGTACTTCCATCCCGGCACCTACGTTTGGAACGAGCCTGAGAAGCGCGAGGCTGGAGCGAGGAGCGACGCTTTCCGCTTGCGGCAGAGGGCAACTCTACGGACGGCCTCCGTGAGCTTCCCATCGCTTCCCTTTCGCTCGATTCACAAAAG